GGATCTATCTATGAGCTCTTTTAACAAATGCTTCGACATTAATTTGATTTCCAAATTACAGGTACATGTATCCTAGTGGCTAGCAGTGGGATGAACAGTAGATGTCGCTTCCGATTTGGAATTCATAGGTGTACTTGCTCTCTATTGTGAGTTTAAAGCAATGGGAACCGATTTCCAATCTAAGTAGAGAATACTGTTATCCACTGGGTAATAACTAAATCCAGATGTTGAGCCCCAAACACAACAAAATGCACGCCCTAGATTCCATTGCTAGCCACCAAACGAGTAACTTCTGAAAAGTCTTTTTTGTTTCACCTTTGAACTGTGTGAATGGGAATGTAATAACTCAGTTTTACAACTAGTACTAACACTTCTAAGTGTGACTGTTAATGGCTGAATATCTAATAAAGTGCTGCAAGTAGACAAACCAGAAACAAAGCAGTTGTCAAGTGATCCTGCCTTTTAAAAGATTTCTCAGCTGATTTCCGTTGTGTCACAGAAATTAACCTACATGAAGCAGGCATCAGAACACGCATCGCTTTAGTGTACACAGCAACTGAAGATGACAGTGACTTATACCGTAAAATCAGTAAATAAGTAATATATTTAACGAACAAAAATAGTCAAAAGACACGTTGCTTTAATTGATTTCTTTTAAGCTTATACATTAAGCTATCCATTGTACACAACACTATATTTGGCCAGAAGTTGGAACTCATAGTCCATTTTCTACCGTCCAAGTGCTCGAATGGTAACTTGCTCGTTTCATGACTATAACTGGGTCCGATCTCCAGTTGGGTTTACAAGTGTGTAGTGGTGAAGAGTAATTTCATCTTACACAGAGTAATGGTGAATACCGATAAATTCCTTTGTGGTCATCCCCAGTAGGCATTATGCAGGAATCCACCTAATCTCTAATGAATGTTATAATCAATAAAAGTTACTTATTTCCACAAAAATGCCTGAAAATCCCATTTTCAAAACAATAAATATTTATCGGTTAACTTACGTCAACTATCAACTTTCCTCTTGTACGTTTACGTTCTCGTGCCAACGCCTTCTTCTCACGGCCTTCAATTATCTTCTCTCGGGTTGTTCTATATTCCAAGGCGAATTCAGCTAGAATACGACAGAAATAGCCAACTGAAGTACTGGATGCTCTTGCTGGACTGTAGCCTAAATACTCCAGAGTATGTCGAAATCTGTACAATATCAGAAAGAAAGAAAGAAGGAGATAATAATTATTAATAAGTCGGAGAGATTTTAAGAAGTAGTATCTGAGATTCTATAACTTATACCTTGTGAATTTAACCTACAAAAAGTTACCAGTACAACGACAATAATACACAGAATCAAGCTAAACACTTCGAGGTGATAATTTGTCATCATTTCCCGTGGGAATAAAGATATTAATGAAAACAAAACACGTAGATCAGCGAAGAGTTTCTTTTCGGCGAATTCATTTTCTTAGCTGTACAATCGCAAACATATATGTGTTATTTTGTATGAATTTGTGCATTAAGTTTGTCAAACAAAAATACAATCCGACGCATCTGCAGTCTCGACGCTCTGGAAACAGAATTAGATATTCTAAGAGAAATTTTCATCCAAAATGGATACCCAATGAGATTCATCAACAAAAATGTCAAACCAAGAATTCAGGGAAACGAAACTCTACTTGCGCTAAAAAAGAAACTCTACATGAACCTGGATTTCAAGGGAGACTTAACAAGCAATATTCTCAAGAGAAGGATCGCATCATCTCTGAGAAGAACATTCTTTGGAGGAACGCTAAGAATAGTGTTCTCCAATCGCCCACTGATCTGCAGAAGCCTTGAGGAGAAGATCCCTAATCTGACCACATCTATGTGCATATATCAGTTCACCCGCTGCTGTGGAGCCAGGTACATCGGTCGTTCGACGCACACCCTATCCAAGAGGATTCAAGAACACTATCCAGCATGGTTGCGAAAAGGCAATAGTGGTGCAATAAGGAGTGCGATAATTGAACATCTGGTTAACACTGATCATTCCATTTCAACAAACACCTCCTTCAAAGTAATCTACAGATTCAAGAATAACCTACCAAAGGCAATACTATTTCGCCTTCTTTGTATCGCTGAAGCTGTGGCCATTCACATAGAAAAACCGGAGCTGTGCATAAAAAAGAGGATTACTCAACCACTTCTACTATCATCGTAACAACTTTGTTGATTTTTGATGGCTTAATTTTGTTTCCTTGCCTGTTTCTTTAATTGCTTATAATTCTTGTATTCATTTAGAACTCTTACGCAATTTCGTATTATCTACTTTGTTCCTATGTGCATCCTGAGTAAAACTCACTCATCAAACTATTCATATTATTACATAACTTCTTTTAACAACTGTTTGTGAAGACTCATCACCTTTGTTACTACCCTAATTTCATTAACACCTAATTTTCTTGACTGATTTTGTCTTACGTAACTCCAATTACCAATCTTCACCTGTTTAGTTTAAATAACTATAACCAATTGTATTTTGTTTGATAAACTTAATGTACACATACATACAAAATAACCCACATATATATTTGCGATTGTACAGCTAAGAAAATGAATTCGCTGAAAAGAGACTCTTCGCTGATCCACGTGTTTTGTTTTCATTAATGCCTGGATGGGTATTATACATGAATAAAGATATTCACATCTGCTCGACAGCATAAATAGCAGTCAAACTAGCAAGCTTCACCATGTGATCACATATACTACAGAGTGTTATGCGTAGCAAACATTGCTGTTTAACTTGAGTGGCTGCCAGCTACTACTCTTATCAGTCAGTAGTATTGTAAAACGATACAGAATACGTAAAACACACTGTATCACTCTCCATTTCACATCACATAAATACATGAAGTGGAATTTTCAGCAGCTTTAAGCATACAGTCACGAGTAATACAGATTCTTGATAGAGAATAAGCATCGAAGATAACAATACTACTATTGTAAACTGAGAAATTTACACCACATATTGTACATAACACGAACCACTACTCCCACCCCCCATACTATATACACATGCACGTCAGTTGACGCGCAACTGTAATTAAAATCATAATACAGTAGAAGATTGGGACATGTGAATAGTAAAAGAGAATAACACAACTGTTCGGTACTGTACTTCACTTAGCATATAGTGACATTACTTAAAAATGCGCTGTTTGTTGACTCATGATTTGATCAAGTAAGTAGTCTATGCGCTGAAATAAACAATTTAGTATTAGGCATTCTCTCACATGAATTAAGCTTAACAATAAATAGCGTGACGCCTTATGATCACTGTCAAATTAATATGCTTCCTTGATACTGCTTTTAGCGAATTTGTTTTTATAACTCTGTACCCAACAGAAGAGTAGTTTATATACTGTGAAGACGTGATAACAATGGTGACCGTGGTAAAGAGTAGCTTTATTTTACTGCAGATTTCTCAGCATGCAAGGTATTTTCACTTCTTGTAGAGATATGTCTAGTACATCGTTTCATTTCATAATAATTCCATATGAAGAGCACTCAAAAATGTACACTCATACGCAATAGGTTCAAAACTAATTAGAAAATGCACATGATTACAATTAAGGAATTCAAGTGAAGTGGAGTGAATTCTGACGCATTATGTCGAATAAAATGCTACGTGAGTTAACCAAATGATTTAGGCAAGCCATTGCTATTGAAGTTTTCAACGTCAGTCCGACCAGTGTTTTCATTTCAGTACTACTACTGCCTAAATCTTCTATACAAGGAATGTGAAAGATTTCTGTGTTCTGCCTGAGTCAACACAAATGAGTAGACGAGACAGACCGATGACAGAAGTTTGTTTAAACGACTATATCCCAGCGTCTTCGAGAGTCCATAATCATACAGTCTCCAAAATGTATAAAAAAAACACCATACCATCTGAATTGTTATGGTTCGTCACCATCAAAGGAAAAATAATAATACTTAGACCGTGAACAAAATAAGCACAGTTAGTCAGTCGCAAGTTAACGGAACAAAGATGAATATAAGCCAGTAAAAGCTAGTGGTGTAAGTTGTTATTGTTATTGTGCAGAACACTTATGACATGTGGACAATTTTGAATCATTCCATAAGAAAAACAAAGGTCCATCAATAAATAAAAAAATAATGAAGTAATCCAGCTGTTTGCTTTAACCAAAAATAACAACAATAACAATAGTAAAACTTTTATTTGTGATAACTAATTGAGCGCATTGAAATAAAGACAAAGAGAAAATGAAAAAAGCAGAATAACGACACGAAATTATGGTGTTTGATAACATGTGATGGTGCGACGGTAGTGTATGGTGGTAGCATTATCGCCAACTACGCAATTGGTTCGGGGTTCGATCCCCTGCCGACGCATTCCTAATCCTCACCCAATTTAATAGGCTATAATAGGTCTGGAAAACGGAAAAGGTTGAGCGTGAGGTTAGCAACTCTACCACCTGTATAAAAAACAACATCGTAACCGAAACGTCGGCGAAACTTGAGGCCCCCTGTTCCACTCGAAAGACAACAGATGGTTTCTGTCCTCCCGAAATAACGAAAGAAACAGGAGTCCTTCTCTATCATCTACCGGGTGCTAAATAAACTGCCAAAAACATTGAAGTACCGCATGCTCCAAGCAACAGAGGCTATCGCAATTCGCGTGAAACAACCAGTGCTTTGTGTCCAAAGGAGGCAAGTTCAACCACTACAAATTCATGAATTTGTAATATTATCTTTCCTAATTTTTCTGACATTCAGTGTGTATTGTTATGTTGATGCTATTGAACTGTAATCTACTGGTATTATTGTTTCGATGTTGTTCATATCACTAATTCATTCGTTCATTCACTATAATGTATATATAACTGTAGAGCCTGATGATGAAGTTATCGAGAAGAGTATTCTTTGTTCAGTATCCATTCTTTTGAAAATTTTAATGGGTATTTTTAATCAGTTAAACTCGAAAGTGTTTATTACCTTGCACTCATTCGTCTATAGACCATTTGTAAACAGATAACCCGTTCCATGGCATCAGTCAGAAATTCTGAAAGTCTAAAGCAAGAAAAAAAAAGGATGAAAGAATATTAAATGTCATAAAAAACATGATAGCGATTGCACTCAATTAGATCAATTTATTTGATGCAATACACAGTGATGTAGGATCAACAACCGGATGATGATGTTTAGAGTGCAGTTTATGGCTCATCGTGCATTCACACAACCCCTTAACCTAGTTTATACAGCCTAACTCCCTAACCCTAACCTATCCTGCCCTATTGTGTAGTTACATACAAGTAAATGAGTTGCAACGGACGAGACTTTTTCTAGATTATCTAATTTAGCAAGTTTAGTCATTCGAGGTCTAGCCAAATTCCTATGTTCCGAAAATCTGACTGACCGCGGATCTCTACTAGTTTGACCAATGTAAGTGGCCTCACAGTAATTACATGGTATTTGGTAAATTATATTATTTTTCTTAATTCGATCTATCGGATCCTTAAGTCAACAAATTTACGAAGTCGTATGAATATATTGATATGATTATGAGAGGCGAATTGTTCCCGAAACGTCGTCCAGTTGTCAATACTTCAGCCACATTGTGTATCATGTCGACTGAACTTATCAAGAATTATATCCTACCACAGTGTCTGAATTCTGCTCTTCCATAAAGAAATATCTCGATTATATAACAATTTCAACTGATTTAGTCTAATAATAAAACGAGTAGGAGAGAACCACTCTATTTTAGTACAATGCATTTCCTCGGTATTGTAAAATGAGTTGAGGTTTCTCCGTCGGTTACTGTCTAAAAATATAATTCAATCAGTGTTTGAATAAAAGTGTTCTCTATCTGCATTATTATGAATTCCCAGTTTAACGATTGACTAGTACGATTTCGACGTCAACACATTAAAATATATACATCATACGACTTCAAACCTCCAGAATAATTTGTTTAAGTCATTTCATTCAGATATTCAATGAAGATCGAATTGTACCGACGGACTGTCGTCATTTAATGTCAACTTTGCTGAAGCGTACTCATCCTTCTTGTCGTATGGTACAGCTGAATGGATGACTATGAATTTAAATCTTTCCTTTCAGTGTACATCTATCTGGTCACGAACTCACATCAGATAGAGGATATTTGTTTCGCACAGCAGTTTGCACCCACGACTCCACTAGGGGTTGAACCCAGGATCCTAGGGTTAGCAGGTGTGCCTGATGGTTTTGTGGTGAGGGCTGGCTGCTAGCCAAAGTTGGTAGACAGTAATTGACGTCAATGTTTATGTCCCCAATATTGGTGGTGAGAAAATGAGAACAAAGGCTTTGCGTAGGCGGATACAGTTAGCATATGGATGATCTGACACAGCCACAAAAAGATGCAAGGTTAACTTTCTGTGAGAAACAACCAATCAAAAGACTGTATTTTCTACTAACAATAATCTACAATAATGTACATCAAAATCTATAAATATGTGTTGATTTTCCTTAATAAACGATCTGTTGCCTGGCCCTTGTCTTCTGTTGTTACAGTTTGACTGTGTAGCACTTCAGGTAAGGAATACTGTCGATGAATATCAGTGGTGGCATCATTGTCAGCATTTGATGAGCATGCCTTACGCCAGTGAATTAGTTAGGCAGTATAAGAAGTATGGTAGAGAGTGTTTTTATTAAAATTTCCTCGTCATTTCTGTAAATCATAAGTACCTTTGGTATTTCCGTGATCTTTTTAATTATAATTACTATAAAAATGTCATACATCAATCGCTTTCTCTCCAATGTAATGTTAGGGGCTTTATGTTAGATTGAAATTCACCGACTAAAGTAGTTAAACATAAGACTAATAGTTCCTTTTCTGACTCTTCGCCAAAAGTTCTAAGTCTTCACAAGGTGAAAGTACTTCACGCCTTAATATTATAAGTGTGCACATAGTTATCTGTACAAAATCTGTGCGATCGAAGGAGTTTCCTACATCCAACTTCCCCTGACTATCATCAAAACTTTAACTGCATGAAATCTAAGTGAAAGAATGAACACTTTTTCCCTCCTTCATTTTGAGTTAAAAACTACAGTTATTGTTTTGACTGCTTTAACTGACACCTTAGTTTCATGTCTTCATTTCCAGTTATTTCGCAACGTCCAAAGTGTGTGTGTGTGTGCATGACTACTGGGTGATGCTAAAATAACTAGATCACTGCATAAAAAGGGAATCAACCTAAAGACAATCTTCAGAAAACAAACTTTAAGCAGCAAAAAAAAAAAAAATGGCATGAAATTTTACAAATAGGCGAGAGTAATTAATTACTTGGCATTTTTGCTTGACTCTTTTTCAGAACTGAATATTAAACGATAATGTTCCCAAGCACGTTTACTGTCTGTCTCTAATTTCTCCAGTCGTTTAGGCAATTCATCCCAGTCAACACGATGACAGCGGCATAATGCACCCAATTCTGAGTGAAGGTCTAAAATTCAGTATATTTTTGGAAAAGGTAAGAAAATCATAAAGAAATTAGGCACAGTGCAAGATACAGAATAGTGTCTATAGTCGATTTATTTATTTCATGCAATATACAGTGAGACACTGAGTCGGTGGTTCGACGGTGGAATTTTCATCAACCATACATGTGATCCGGGTTCGATTCCCGGCTGACGCTCCACTATACCCTGCCGACTTCACTAGTCCCTCTTAAGCCTAGACAAGAGGTAAGGTTGAGCGTGAGGCTAGAAGCTTCATAGACTAAGGCTGGAGGCCTGATGTTCGATCCGAAATACGAGGGGATATAGAAACAGTGATAAAAGTATAATTTACAAAGAGACTAATTTAAGGCCCAGATCATCGCCACATAGTCATGCACAGTTAGTTTCACACACACGCATGCACAAACAGTGCCTCCCAACTGTTACATTTTTTCTTGATTTCCATTTTAAGAATAACACTCCTCTCTGGATCTGGCTGAGATTTAATAGTGTGACAAGATCATTAGGTCCGAAGATTGTGTTTTGCATCGTAGCCTTGGTGGACGAAGATGCACGAGACACAGAATATGAAGAATAGTGAATATTTTAAAAATTTCGATAGTAAGCAGTGAATAAATATATTTCGGCTGTTAGCAATCATTTCCGAACAATGGCAACAGGAAGAATCTACAAAAATAAATTTAATTACCCCCAACAGTGTCTGAAGTGAAGTGTATAATGCTTTATTTTGTAAATTGTGTAGAACTAAGATTACTGCCAAAATATGTTAAAACTGTGAAAAACTAATCTCCAGGTTTCATACTTGTTGTTTTTGGAGTTATATTAAGACACACTGTCCGGAACAGACTCTTCATGTGCCAGGTCAGACACCTGATATTTGCAGTCTGATCACACTACTCAGTTACCGAGATAGAAGCAGGTGAAGTGAGGACTCGAAGCCAGGGTCTGCATAAAAATTCTTGAAAACATAATATTAAACGGGATTTCTTTCACTTCATTTTGTCTACCCGAATAGTCTTATATTTACAACTGCAGAGTTACGATGACGATTACCAGGTATCATAAGGAACTATTTCATAACATCAGAACCACTACTCAAAATGTCTTCACCACATGGCATTCTCCGCAAGACTTTATGATGCGAAAGCTTTGTCTTCTGCTCCCGTCAATCCAACAACACCATGATAGCCTTCAATGTATCTTCAACTACAGAAGCCTGCAGTTATGACAATTTCACCTTTTGTGGAAAAAGTGAAATCAGTTCTCCAAACAGCAATAGTGAGCATAGCTACTCTAAGTAGACAAATTACGCTAATCGCTGATAAAGAAATAAGTGTCGTACTCAAGCCGCTTTGCGCAAAAATGATCAGCATTCTAGTATTTGTTTCCAGTTAGAAATAAGCCCCAGATAAGCCTACATGGTATAGAGGTTATAAGCAATACTAGTATATATCACTTGGCAAAAATTAGACAGTTTACTTAATGATTTTAACTCAGAGTGAAATATACACTTGATAGGACTCGAACTAGCGACCTCCGAACTAATAAGCCGGTACTCTACCGGCCGATTTCTAGGAGATCCTTGGCGGTTGCAATGGAACGCTGACTCGGCTAGAAGCTTATTACTATTATATTATTGTATCCTTTAATTCCTAGAGGAACATAGGACTTCAGCCGTGCTTCTCCATTGAGTTCGGTTCTCTGCTAAAGTCTTCACCTGGCTCCAAGTCTGCCCACACGTTTTCATCTCCTCTTCACATGACCTCCTCCAAGTCACCCTCATCCTTGGACGACCAACTCGCCGCTTCCCTTTCAGATTCCACTCGAGCAATGGCTTGTTTAGTGATGTCACTTGATGGTTTCCTCAGAGTATGGCCAATCCATCTCCATTTCTTCCTACCTATTTGTTTCACAATCGGTTCCTGCTGTGTTGGCTCGCTCATTGCCAGAGATATCTGTTGCTGATCTTTTCTGGCCATCTGATCTTGAGTAATGAGCGAAGACAGCTGTTGATGAAGGTCTGTAGTTTGTTTGAGATGCTCTTTATGACGCGCAGTGCAAGTCTCTCATCCGTATAGTAACTGGTACTGACTTCACATTGGAGTTGAAAATCCGGATCTTATTTATGATGCTGAGTGCTGTTGACCTCCACACAGACTTGAGAGTAGTGAAAGCTTGTCTTGCTTTTCCGATTCTTGCTTTGATATCCTCGTCAGTTCCGCTGGCCTGTAGTTGAAACGATGCTTCCTTGGCAGGTGGATAGGTAAAGTAGGTTGTTTCTTTTAGGTTCCTTCCATTTATGCTGATTATTGTCTGTTGTTGTTGCTATTGCTGTTGGCCAGGAATCTTCATCACCTCTGTTTTCTCTGTGTTAAACAGAAGGCCTATCTTCTCTGAATGCTTCTTCTGCCAACTTGTTGTTTTTCACTTGCATATGTTCCAGTTTGTGGAAAATCAGACATATATCATCGGCGAAGTCCAGATCCTCCAAGTTTTTTGTGTAAGTCCATTTTATGCCTGTTTCCTCATTACCCACTGTCTGTGACATAACCCAGTCTACTGCAATCAGGCTAGAAGCTTCGAGGCGGCTAATTTGAATCCTGCTAACAACACAATAATCAATCAACAATACTACTCATTATATGAATACTAACCTGTACCATCGGGGAATTGGTCTAACACTATACAGCATACATGATGTAATAAACTGTTTTTATATTTAGTGTCTTTCACTTCAGGAAGACGACCCAAATAATCGAGAGTGAATCCTCGAGCAGTTGAACCATTCAAAAAATTACCAATAGCCAGCAGAACTGATAGAACATATCGAAGAGTTTTACAGTTGATTATCTCTGTGACAGCCTTTCAAAAGGTAACAAAAATAAAGAGGAAAGAGGAAAAAGACAGTGAAAAACTCCAAAATTTTATGTTAGTAGTTTGACACCTTCACATACAAATTGAACACATACACACACACACTCAGAGAATGAAAAGCGTGATGTGATAGTTCCTGTCTAATCTTTCGTGTTTTTATCTTCGTTAAAAAGTCCTCTTAGCTTTTGCATGTACAAGAACATGAAGCATAGACTAGTAATTAATACTAAGTAGTCAAAGGATAACTCTGGTATTCATGCATGTATTTCGCTGAGAACTATTAGACAACATATGTGAGGATCACTTGGCTAAATTCAATTGAAGCAAATAACTAGTATTATGTCACTTTAGTTAAAGAGTACAGATGCACAGTTTAGAATATAAGGTGAAAGTAACATATTCAATCTTAGGTAGACATTTATATTCACATTCATGAATCTGACATCATGCAGTAATTATTATATGAGAGTCACATATCTTAACATTACGCGAAAAGGCACCAAGTGGCAGTAAGGACTGTTCAGTCAATATACATATGACAGAACTGAAGGTTGATATATTGGCAGCCAACCTTTACAGGGCAGTACACTAACGTCAGCCTTTGCTTACTTCTGGTTAGAAGGAGAAACCTTGTCCATTCTCTATGTTCCAGAGTTCTGAAAATCTGCTCTAAAGGCATAGTTTATATAGCACTGGAAAACAACAGTCTTAGATAACGAATATTCTAGAAGGTTTACTACGAGAAATATGAAGAAAGAAATCGCTCCTAGCCAAACCATAATGACAAAAAAGACTGTTCATGAATTCGTCATTGAAACGTGGAGCCATCCAAGCTCTTTTAATGCCAACGACTTACATTCGGTATTCTCGAGCTAGTGTATGATTAAACAGTGTGTAAAGGAAAGACTACGACTTATGTTTTTCTCAGTGTGCGTCTACTCTTTCATATGTTCTTGTGGAGCTGATTACGTTAGATGTTGTTAGCGAGTTTCCCGGAAAAGCGTAGCTGAATACTGGGTCGTTTGGTTAATGAAAGGTGAACACAAGGGGAATACGTTTTATGCTTTTGAACACCTACTTGAAACAAGTAGCCCCACTTAGCCCCATATGATTTGTCCTCCTAAGTTGTCTACACAGCTACATTCGGTCACTCTATATGTTTAGGTTTTCTCCGCTTATAGCCGAAGTACTGGTTATACATGGATAGAGACCTAAAACTATGTCATCAGGAATGTTTCTATAAACCTCTTGATCAAGGGAATCTTCTTTTCCGTCGATAAAATTTTATTCTACTTCACTTAATCTCCAACTTCATCATCACTGTTGAGTTTTTAACATCATCTGACCTACTCTAAACCTCTTTAATAAACAAAAATAAATGATTTCGTATGAAGAGGTCTACAATTTTGTAATTCATCCTCAAATCCTAATGCCTACATTCACGTGCAGAAAAACATTGATGAATCAATCATGTGAAATAAGTAGTAACGGTTATGTCAAATTACCTGTTTTAAATCATTCAATGGTTCAGCTATTTCTTTTTCACTTTGTTCATAGTCCAATTTAAACAACCATAATTCTAAACGCGGTTTCAAATGATTTATCGCCGACAGTGTAACTAGGAACTGTTCAGCTTGTCCAAGTGGTAAACCATCCTGTTCCGCCTTAGCCTTCATGATAGCTTCACATTCTTCTTCAGTAGGCAACATTGTTGTCAGGAGTTTCTAGAATAGAAGAATGATTATTGAATAGTTGAGAAATGAAGTGCGTGTGTGTGTGTGCGAGGGGGGGGAATGTTTTCTTTCTGAACAAAAGTTTGGTTGTTTTTATTTTGATTTAAAAGAAATGTTGGAAAATACAGTAAAAAGGGTGAGAAAAACTAATTACAGTTGTGTAAAAAGCGGTAACATATATAGCATTAAAGCAAGACCTATACTCTCCCTCTCTCTCTCTTCATATCCTAGAAATTACTATGAATCATTTTTTTTTCATGGGTAAATCAAATTTCGTGTTCACAGACAGCGGATGAATTCGAGTCGAAAAGTTAAACTGTGCCAGAATGTGATCATATCTTATCAAAAATGCACTATATGATGGATTCATCGCGGTAGCTGCCATTTCTTCTTGCACACACAGCCTTGCTTATACCCCCCCCCACCCCTTTGATTTGTTCTACGCTAACTGTTGTGGAGTGAATACCGACATCAATTTCGTGTTCCTCATCAACTTAGTTATAGAGGGATTTTTATTTCACGCTGTCTTATCTTCCCACACTTATTAACCACAAGTCAACTATATATATATATATATATATATATATATATATATATATATAACCTTGTATTCTCAACACCTACGTAGAATCCATTTAGATTTTTCTTGTGTCAGAGCAATATCTAAATTTATAAAAATTAGTTACACTTACTCATCGACAATAGATTACTCACGCGGCTGAAACTTAATTATTTTAGTATCAACTATAATTAGTGTACTTTGTAGTGTGGGATGTCTGAAGCAAGACACGAACACAATAGTTCTTTGATTATCGTTTCATTTCTTTAAAGTACTTTACTCATCAGAATACATACCGTCAAAGCAACAACATATCTACAGGTTGACTTCAAAATGTATTTTGCGAAGAAAAGTATTTCTGTATTAAGCTAATTTCTTTACTGTAAAACCAATACTGTATGCAATAAGCGTATGACGATATTAAATTTTCTGTTTAAGTCACTCGTATCAGAGAATAATTAACTCGTTCATAAGAACATTTCAATTTACCATCAAATTTACACATTGTCACTGATGTATTAGAGAATGATTGAAGATGGAATGGAAATCTGGTTCTCAACAGTGAAAGTGACGACTTGGTTTGGAGTCGGATCCCACAAGTCAGCTGATAGCGAACGAAACAGCGAATTCCGAAGTCACCGGTTGGAATTATGCTGAGAGACAGACTTTTGTCCCATGTTCAATCATAACGCCCTACAATCAATAACAGTTTATCAAATCAAAGCTATCCCAGATAGTCTTACCGCCAACTAACCACTCGTTCTTGATGATGTAATTCAGTATGAACAGCTGTGATGGGAGAAGATCTACTTAGGAAGCTAGTAGGATGACGAACGAATAGTCAAGTACCATTCATTAGACGCGATAATTAGACGTTACCCGTTGTAAGTCAGCTAGTAGAGCATCGGATAAGAGTTTCAAGGGCCACTGATATTTGTACATCACAGTGATAATTACAATTAGAAGGATAAAATGGCTAGTGATAGGATTGGAACAGTGGGCCAACAATCTACTGGAAATCTGGAGATTCGACAGATAACTAGGTTTTTACTCAACTGCACCCAACATGACATATAATTGACAGGTCAGTTTAATTACTTTAACCTAATTTTACTCATGGTGAATTAAAATTGGGATGTGTATCATTGGCCTAAGCACTCGACTTCAATCGAACAGGTTCTCAAGTTGAATCTCTCTCCACCCTGAGCAAATAGATAACCTCGTATACAAAAACTCTACTGTGGTTAGCTTAATTCTAGCTGGATTACCACCTGACTTGGTAAATACCTAAAATATCTGCAGTTTGATCAGTTGGTACTGGAGATAATGAACAGAGTAAATACGTAAGTCTGGTTTGTACCAAAACAAAATGTACATAACCAGAATTAATGAAAACTTTTCTTTCGACATATGTAAGATAAAAAGACACATTTAATATTCCTTTATTATTATTATTATTATTACTATCATTATTATTATTGCTATTTAAAACTGAAATTACCTCAATTCCTTCTCTGTTAATAATAGACTGATCCATTTTTAAAATAGCTGAACTGATTGTACGCGGTGGAGGTAACACCTTCAAACCGATATTTATTGCATTTGAACGTTTCATATCTAACACTTCAATCTTCTTTACAGCGACTTCTTGTTTCTGATTGTATATTTCAAAGGAAAATAATCAATAAATAAATACATAACAGGCTCTGTTCTATGAATTATTCTGCATAACTATTAACTCTATATGTATGCATATATGCTTGTTAAATCATGAAAAAACTATGTTTCCTATTCCACAAAAGGACTCACTTCACATTGATGTTGGCGTTGGAGATGTTGTCTGGAATGACAACACAACAACCTCTGCAGTCAAACCATCTAACTCAACTACACCAGAATTTTCTTACCCTATCAATTACCTAATTAAGGCTTCATAATGTAGTGTATGTCTAGTTTTGTATATAATAACGACTGGATTCAGTGGTCAAATTCATGCAAGTCACATCTGTACTTCATTTGCTAGGATTTTTATGCTAACCAAGTTTGGTCTGCAGTCCCTAGGTAAGCTGAAAATCCTTCCTACTACCCAACAGATATATGCAGAAGAAAACGGCAATGAACTGGATATAATCTGAAGAAACCTTCAAGTAATATCACACGTTAGGTTGCGAAGTGGAACCAGAAAGGGAAGCGATGAATTAGGCCTAGATCTATGGGGGACTAGGAATTGGAAGACTATGGGAGGCGTTGTCACCAACCTTAAATTCATAGAGAGGAAGCTACTGGCAAGGAAAGCTGCTGCTAAGGCTCTGCGTTCTGCTAGGAATGCGCGACGTACTTATGTGATATGAAGACTGTAGAAGAGATGCTGAGCCGATTAAACTAAAACACTAGCACACATACACACACTAATACACGGATAAATATACACGTCATGTTAACAGATATCATCGATAGCTTTCTTATGTTTACAATACTAACTAGAGAAATTACCATTGTGAAGTTTAATTACGCAAAGTGCATAAATCGCACCGAAATACAAATACACAATAACAAAACAAAACAAAAACATAACGATTAGTGTAGGTTAAATCAGCGCTTTCAAGTTACACTATTCGAGGCAAAATTCACTACTACAGATTCCTACGGAAACATAAAAAGATATTCGGATCACAATAAATGTGACGTGTCTGATCCCATAACTGGTAATTAAGTAAGCAAGTGTGTAACTTCATAACAGCATATACTACTAACTGATCTGCATAGGTGATAGTCAGTTATGTCAATCAAACAGTACATGCTTGCTAGCCAGAGTGAATTGATCTAAATGCCTAACGTATGCCTTGCTAGTGTGAGGCCAAGCTCTACAGTGGCGACGTATCCTTAGAGACTCATACATATTGTGATAAGTCAGTCGATTTTAGTCACATATCAAGGTGAAGTGTCTGAGAACAATAAGTAGATTGTGTGAGATATGTCATCCATTCAGGAGTTATTGTATTCTCTTGACGAAACGATCGACTGGTTCTGGCACCTTATATAACCTTCTACATTATATTATGAAGGTGGACACTATCATAGAAAGATTAACAAAGGGAAGCAACATGGATATGTGTGTTCGAATTGCTGAAGATTCTACGAGTCTAAACAGAAAACGTCATTTAACAGGAACACATGTATAACGGCTAATAAACATATCTTAAATAGAAAACGAAACTATCATAATTAAAACTAAAGCACTACTTATATTAATTAGCAAGTGACAAAACAAAACCATGTGAGCAATAGCAGAAAAAAGGGAAATTCGTCGGTTAGGCAGGAAAACAGAGAAGACAGAAAACTGAACAAAAGAGATCAAACTACTCTACAACTAGTCAGATACGGTGGGGGGGTAAAACTAAAAACAAGAAGAAAACTGAACAGTATTTGCCCTTTCTATGCAATAAACACAGCAAAGTTGATGAATAGTGATCCAAGAGATAAGAAGTACGTTTCGCCTAGGTTATAATCCAGTCATAACCGAAACATCGAGTTTATTGTTAATAACTAATGTTGTTCAGTGCAGACTAAGTTGGTTTAATCCGGAAAAGTGCCTGAAATCAAATCCTAATCATACCCTCCTTCCATATTCGTAAATTTAATCTCATTATATATAGCTTCTGTAAACGGACTGTTTTTCATCTAAAGTAGTCTGGTGTACCCTGGACTGGCTGCTTCAGGGTTATTGAAGTCGTCAATTGTTCGCTTAAAACACTATTCTCTAACTTCACAATAAATATCCTGAAGCATAGTCAGTGGTGAATGGGTATTCGATGTGCCGACCCTCTGAAGAACAAAGACTGACTGAAAGTCTAACCGATATACAGTCCTTCCAAAGTAGAGTGAAACGTTTATTTTTGGTTCGGAAAAGCAACAAAATGTAGAAAATCAACATAATGGGATTAGGGCATGGATAGCCAGGCACTTAGTTAAACAAAATGTTATATCTTTTAGATCAGTGTGAGTGTAGCACAAAATCTTTTAGTTTGCTCATTATTAAATAATTGTTAAATATATCTGAATATGTAGCAAAGTAAAGAAAAGAAATAATCAGGGAAAAGACCCAGAAAAAGGTTACATTATACAACGCAATATCTGAGACAATAAAACCGGTACTGATTGTCAATATTTTTCACAAATATCATTTTGTTTTACATGAAACAGTCAAAAGGAGCCCACTACAGTCACTTTCTTCTAACCAAGATTAATAAAAAGCAATAATACGTGGAATAATATCGACGGCTAAGTGCATTTCGAAAATAATTATTTCCAACAAGTCACCATAAGATGGAGAAGAACGTTGAAACACGTTATACTATCGAACTGTAGCGCTCCATAATCGGGATAGGTGGGTCAAGTTATTACCGGATATGCCTTAGAAACAGCTGTGCTTACCAGTTTCCTCATTTACTGCCTTTCAGTTGCTTTCTATTTTCCTTTTCCTTATATTGTCATTTTATTAATCCGCATAGTGGAAGAAGTGTGTATTCAAATAAAATAATTAAAACAAACTGTACTAAATAACTACACTGTAGAAGTTTTCCTGGTGTTCTTCAAGCTTTGATATTTGTTTCACGAACGTCCCACTACGTTAGTAACCACAACGTTGACTAGATGAAAGACTTCACACCATTTTTAGATCTCTTCTGAAACAGTTTTACTCTAAGTAACACTGTACTGTGCACTGTTTTTTAGCATGCATAGAAAAGCTGCCAAAGTACATAAATTATTATGAGTATCAAGTACCACAGAATGGCTTTTCTCTTTTTCTCTGAAACTTTCAGATTGAATTTTGAATTAATTATACCGGTTAATTAATAAACTTGTTTTTTTAATATTACCACATAGTCCCCATTTTAAATTATCATACCTGATAATCGGATAGTAGGACAGAGCAGTTAAACTTGAAATCCTTAAAAGCCATTTGAATAGTTCACTCAGACTATAAATAATGGAGATGAATTGACTTCTGTTTATATTTGTGTTGATAATTCATGTGTCACACATTCAACACATATTAAGTGAATTGGAACGAGTAGTGCAGCGATAAGACAGAGATTTTTATAGCAAGTATATATATATATATATCATTCCATTTGCGTCCTGACCGTCAACATAGGGCTCTAGACTTCAAACCATGGAGTTTCAGTAGCCATGGTGTTCGCTTTACGCGGTGGACTTGCCAGCATGGGAGTCAACTTTGCTCTTTCCAAGACTTACTATCAGCCAGTAAATTGGTCGGGTTTTAGGAGTGAAGACACCATCGGGAATATTATCCAGGACCAAGTGCATGGTTGACGAGCATTCTGCCACTGAACTATCGACGCAGATAGAGAATCAAACCATCTTTAGCAGGATTGGACTGTCCGGCTACTTACCACTGATGTAAAGCATGGTGACTTGTAGCTGAATAAAGTCTAATTCACAGTTGTATTCGGAATAATAATCCCAAGGACACCAGTTTAAATTTGTATTATTCTGCTCAAGTAACCTTGATTTTGTTTTCGAAATGCACGTGACGATGAAAAATAATAGTACTTTACAGAAGATAAAAGCTCAAGAAGACAACAGTGCTGGTGAAGGGACAGAATTTGTTTTGTTTTGTTTGTTTTTTTCAACAACAAAAAATATGTCTACATGAAAATGACAATAACTGTGACGCTATCAAGTTAGACAAAAAAAGATAATACCGAAAATCGCTTAAATCCAGTTACTGTATAAAAGGAAATTCAACTCCACTCAGATGTTATGCATTCTGGTGATAATCAGTAGAGTGTTTCAACAGTCTTGAAGAAAATTTTCTCCTTTCTATGATTAAAACTGGTGTCACCGATTTCCACGGCCAGGCTGTCAAAGTGACAACTGAGAGACTTTACGACTGAATTTGTATCTGGCTACCGAATGGCGATCTAGTCATCCACAGTGCGTCAAATGGAATCTACTGATCACTAGGCTTACTGACATTATTATACAGTTATGAATCGTGATGAAATCTAACCTCTAATACTAGGTTTAAAAATCGAATAGTTCGTAGGAGGTCTCGCTGCAACTTTACTTTCAGCCTAGTGGTCTTTAGATGAATATATATTTAAAATGAATAAGGCCATTCACTTTGTCATGTTAAACTCTTTAAAAGGTAACCACAACGCAAAAACACTGGAATTAGGAAATGTGTTCAACGGTGACACAAAACAGAATAATGCTTGAATGATATTACCAACAGTTGATATAATTATAATAATAATGAGGTAACGTGCAGACATTGTCATTTAATTTTCGGTAGGGTAAAAGTTAAACATTTCTAATAAATTGTTAGATAAGAGGTGATAAGGAATAGTAGTAGCAATTCTTACAAACACGCATACACACTCTCGTTCACTTTTCTTCACCACCGAATTACGTAACTATAGACACTAAAGTTATGTGGCATATGGGATAATCAGTTGCATACATTTGTTGCACATGTGTATATGTGTACATATAAATACGTTCAGGGACTGGCATACATAGTCAGTAAAGACAATGAAGAATTAAAAGGTAACAGACTGTCAAAGAACTACATATATACACATATATATCCAAATATAAATGTTTGTATATTATATATACATATATATATGTATATAGTTTAGGTAATAACAGGCATAAAAGACAAGTATATATGTGTATATATAGAGAGAGAGAGATTGAGGGTTTTGGTTATACATTTATACAAATATGCAATCAAATGGTTATTTTCTGTGTTAAAATGTTTAGTAAGGAAAAAAACTTGAACAATCTAAGTTACAAGCAACTATAGCATAAAAGTGTTTGGTAAGTGAACACGCGCTAATGGACACACGCGCACGCACACACACACACACGGAAAAGTATATACGTATATTGATAAACAGGTAGGTACGTAGGTGGGTAGGTAGGGAGATAGGTAGGTATACACCCTAAATGAGTGATACTGTAATATATATAGTATGTTTTGTACTTATATATATATAAATATATATGTTTGTGTAAAATCTATGCTTAACGAACGATACAATAATATACATACTGCTATGTGTTATCGTAATCATGCACTTACCAGTTCCTTGTTTTTGTTTGTTCAAAAGGTATTTTACAAAAATGACAAACAGATAAATAAATAAATAAAATTAAAAATAAATCTAAAGAGATATTTTTTATTTCATTGTATTATACAATATACGATATTGTATAAGTAAGGAATTCTCATGCGACAATGATGGTTGTCAAAATTCAAATAAATATATACTAGAAAGAACAATTCCTCTACAACACTAGTCTATTTTTGTTTTTGACAAAAAAAAAACAAAACAAAGATAAGAGTGATCTTTTTTTCTTCAGAAAGTTTACCTTAAAGTTGTTTATTGTCTTACAGGACAATTGCTCTGACATCGGTTAAATTAAACAGTCGGTGTACACATGTCATTGCATAGCCTAGTGGGGTAAGCTATACTTTCAGCAGTGTTGACACACGGGACTGCTGACCAAGATCGTTTAATTCTTTAGTATGTCAAGTATACATGCACCATTGATGGAATATAACAGATTAGAAGAGTGAGTTTATGTGTTGACTGTGTGTGGGCATTGAAATGATTGTTTGGGGAGATACTTCACCAAGACAATTGCTTAACACTGATAACTATTTTAAGGCTACCTTGTAGTAGTGCTGGGTGTGATAAGTACCAACTGATCATTGATCGATAAGGCTACAATGATACACCGACAAATTCCTTTCTACCTGATGACGTTAGACGCCCTCCTTTGACAGCTTATGCTTGAACACACGTGCATTTCAGATATTCAGTCGTTTGCTGGTCAGTTTCTGCGATTAGTACGATTTCTGATGCATATTTATTCAGCATTGAACTCATATATTAAAGCTTTTACTGTTAGATCAATTGGTTTTTAAACAAGTTAAATTTCGATAATTGAGTTGTAGATTACTCTCATGGAATGTTTCAGTAGTCATCTGTCTATAATTCATTTGTCAGAGCTCAGTGAACAAGTTGTTTTAAGCTATTGTTATTATTCAGCAGTGACATGCATGCAACGAAGAATACCAGTCGATATCCAAGAGTAGTGTTAGAATGACACCATTTAAAGTGTGAATCACACAAACTTACCAAAAAAGAAAGGATTATGAAGTATTATAAAAAGAACCCATAAATATTTACACTAGTAACACTGAAAAAGACGAAATGATAAGCTTATCAGAAGAGATCATTCACAGTCATAGTATATTTGTACCACAGTGTATCTCTGTAGCATAGGAAATCAGTCTTTCAAATATATATGTCGTTGTTTCGTCCGTCTGAGTACTCATCAGGTGAGGTGTATTCTAATGCATTCTTCAAAATAATATTCAGTAAGGACTTTTCAGTATTAAACAACTAGCTACATTATTATCCAATTGCATATAGGGTGGTGATAAGAATATAAAATGCATTCTGCTGAAAATAAGCGGGAAAGGCAATAACGTTTCATTACTTTTGGTGATGAACGCTAGTTGCAGTGTGTATCGAACAGGTTAGTGAAATTGTCATCAACTTGAAGCCAACTCCACTTAGCAAGATTTGTATTTCTACTTCTCAAGAGATAATACCGACTTTTTTTTCTTCTTCTAGGCGGGAAGTATGTTTCAATCTTCATAAATTATTATTATTCACATGTTTAACACCTAAATATTTCCTTGAGCACAAGACGTTTTGAAGTGAGTACTTAGATAGAAGATACCTATATATCCAGATAGTTCGATCAAATCAACCAAATCTTGATATGATTATGAGCAATAAATTGTACTCGAAACGTTATCAGTAAATATTACTGTACAACAGCACTGTGAGACTTCATCAAAATAAATTTTATCCACAATGGAATCAACCAAATCTTCTCTGTGCTCTGTTTTATCCTGTGATAAGGGGATATTATGCAACTGAAAGCGCAAAGTTAGTCACTAGTTAAATGGAGCGAGCAAAAGAAGTTCTAACAACAGTCCCATGTCGAACCTAATTACCAGTGGACAGGTAGTAATAGAATTCGGTGTGTGGTCAAACAAAGTTAGGACTCCTAGATTTATTTGCTGTAATATTACTCGGTTGGTGGCAATAAATGCTTACACTTTACTGATTCTATGTAGAGGTCCATTACTGTGCGTGTTTTTGGTGTTTCTCATATGATTTGTTAGAAGAATTAATCCGGATTTCTCCTTAAACATCCTTCTCCTTGATCGTATCTCACTCAGTGTTAAGCGTTAACCAGTGTTCAGTATTTTGAAAACAACATACTTGCATTTTAATAAACCTCGGGAAATTTTACTTTCCCTCGAGGTTCAGAATGACATTGTCCTATATTTTACACTGCAGAACTACTTTTCATTTGTTCTTAATAATAGTTGAAACTTAACACATAACTGTTATTTGCCAGAGTTATTTTGTAATTCCCTTTGATTCATTGTATTCGGCGCACATGCCAAAAGAGACCAATGCAACCGATCAACGAGAAATACAAAACAAATTAGATATATGACAACTGACATTCATTGCAAAAGAGGTAGCTCGGTTCAAATGTCAGTTCGAACATAATCATTAAGTGCACCACATACAGGTATATTCAGTTGAAAAATCACAGATAGGACTAAACGCTCCCTCAGGATTCAGCTGCTAGCTACCACCAACAATGCACACGTAATGACTGCACACCTGTCAAGTTAACAACTGTTAAATATTTCTTACACGGGGTGGTGGTCCAGTGGTAGAACACTCCAATCTCCGACTGACAGACTCCTGAACCTCGCTTAGTCGGTAGTAAACTCAGTAAAAAACGCCACTGTTAATAAACCTTCAAAGCTTAACTTTGACGTTCTGTGTTCCACTTCGAAAGCAAAAGAATAAAGTAGATAAAATAATAAATACGGGAAATATCTTCAGCATCAATACTTTGCCTTGACGCCGATTTCAGTATTGTGTTATACAATTATTTCACTATTCAAATTATACACATTACACATCAAGTAACAGATTTAGCTTGTATTTCGAGTTGTTCAGTTCAAGATTACTAGTCAAGCATAATTAACAGTATAAAAGCTTATACTCCTTCCATGTTATTTAAGCTAAAGTTATTCAAATAGAATTTAAGCCTGAAACCTAATGAGCAGCATCGTGACCACACTGAGGATGTTGATATCCAGCTAAAGACTGTTAACATCTTATACGAGTATGCAACGGATTTTGTAAGAAATAGTCACTAGAAAGCAACTAACATTATGAGTTCAGTCCTTAGTGTTGATGCTATGCCTCAATCCCGTCAGTCAAGCTAAAAATGCTATCATCAAGCCAAGTAACTCGTCATCAGGGAGCACTTAGAATTATTACCAGATGATCAGATGCGGTCGGTAGCAATCCATAGATCAAGTTTTCATGTTTGTTGGTAACGGTCAGCAAAGGGGGGACTGATTCTTCTTGAGAAGTTCAGAAAGGCTTCACCAGGTGCTGTAGTCAGGAGACGAATAGTTTATCAGTAATGTTTTTGACTGCGGTACCAGATGAGGCGAGTTTGAGTTTCCAATGAGGCATCAGTAAATGCTTCAGAGGTTGCAGACACATCTTGCTGACGAGTTTCAGTGTCTACGTTCGAAACTTCCTGTCGACTACTTCCAACAATCTAACAGTGGGTATCACAGTCTATAAAGCATTCTTGTTATAATAACTATGAACGCTAGAATCAGCCGACTGAGTAAGCAATTTGTCGTGTGTAAAAAAACGCGACTTCGACTACCGATACCTTCTGATAACCCTGTGAATTAATGCCTTTCAATATCGATTACTTGAACGATATCAAACAGTAATATAATTGAAAATCTGGTCATTATGCATAGTGCAATATAGCATACCTTTATTTTTACATCAGCAGAACGATTTTCAAACGTTTCCTCCAAAAAGTCTGGATCTAATTTCACGGGTACAAGTTCTGACCATACAGTCGATTTCGCAATATCTTTAATGTCTTTTTTAACTTCTTTATTCGCTTGCTTAGCCGACAGAGACGACAAAAATCTACTGCCTACACCAGAAACACTGTCCGGTTTATCAATAGATGTTTGTGGTTTAACTGCTGCAATCATTTTCAAGTCTTTCGGTGTTGGTTTCCATTCAGTCCAATGGAGACGAATAGTCTTTTTCGACTTGGGAAGCTCTGTACCAGGAGCTGGTGGTAGGTTGGATGGAACAGCTGTTTGTCCGGCAGCACCAGGAGCGGGTGGCGGGGGAGGAGGACCACCTAGACACAGAAAAAAGAAGAAAAGGTTAGACATGACATAAAATTGAAATAATCAAACTCAGCAACATGCTAGGTCAAACATCCATGATAAATTCAAAGCATAGAGGAAATGTTGAAAGGAAACATAGAAGAAGAGAGAATTTCTGAAGAAATGACACCCCATTTATTTCATGAAAATTTTGAAGACGAAACTATAATTCGGATCCGTCGATTAAATCAATTCACCTATCAGTAAACAACAGACAGTATACAATTTTGTCCAGCATTGCAATTTCAGCACTGGGCTGAAACAGAGACACGGGTGGTTAAACTAAAACGTGATATTAATCGATGGAATCTGTGGCCGCTGGTTTGAAGCACATACAGGGAGGTGGTGTAGACTGTTTACTTAGGGTCCTCAATTATTTAAGAACCAGTGGCTATAAACATTTGGTTACATGGCTCAAAATCGTTCTCAGTAGTGCAGATGCACCTATTCTTTTTGGTTTATTAGAACCATTAAATCTTCAGTATTCTTCATGTATTTATTAATTTTGGCAATTCCAAATTTTTAGTTTCTTTGAATCTGTTCTATCTTTTTTGACACTTAAGTGTAATTTTTCGAAGTATGGCGAGTTGAACAGCTGCACTTCTATGAAAAGTCCTATGTTGAAAGTTCACTTTAGTTCAAACTTCGAAAACGCACCAGAAAAAAATGAAAATAAGTAGAATAACAATCATAATACAATTTCTGTGAGGAAGGGATTGACTAGAAAAAGAATAAAAATTTAAACGGTACTCGTTTCAGTTACTAAAATTATTAAATGGCACGGTAATATATGCTGGAATTTAGTAATATTTTGACAGGTTTAAAATTGTATCAACAAACACTCAACAACTACTGCATAACTACATATCATACATAATAGTTAATTTTATATACACCAGTAAAACACATTACCTAGTCCAGGAGGAGGTGGAGGGGGAGCACCTCCTGGAGGTGGCGGTGGCGGTGGGGGAGGCGCACCAAAACCGCCTCCAGGTGGTGGTGGCGGGGGAGGAGGGAGGTTGAGACCAAGTGGTGGCGGCGCAGGCGGTGGTCCGGAACTTGTCGATGTTTGAATTTCCTCTTGTTCTTCAGCTTCAAGATCTGTGAAGTCTAAATCTTTCAACCGTAGAGGACGCCGTTTAACCTTGTCTAAACAACGTTGCCAAAATGTCTCGACATTGTTTTCAGTTTCAGCTAGAATTGTAGTGGTGGGTGTTGCTGCTGTTGGTTCTGCATTACTCTTTTATATAGAAAAAGAAACACAAATAGGATATTAAAAGACTTCGTTCAGTTTTATTCAAGAAACTTTTCGACAAGTGTACCTAAAAACCGTCTCAGCTTTTTGAAAAAAATAAATAATGCTTCAGAAATCAGAAGCAGTCAGAATCAGTACAGAATATTGTCTACAAGTCCGTCAGTTCCAATTACTAAAAGTCAAAGTAGTACCTAAAGAGGATATGAACTAGAATAGACTGGCACTCCAATGACGTGGAATGAATTTGAGGACAAAGAAATTAATTGAATAAGAACTGATGGAGATATCTTCTTTCATACCTCAGACAAGTATTGATTGGTCTCATGGATTGGTGATTTTTCTTAAGCTGACTAGACATTTCTACTTCAGGTAACATTGTTCTTACTGTCAAGGAGGTCGGCAGTCAGAGCATGATCCCACAATCGGTCTCTCTCTAGCAGATAGTTCTATTATTATTATTATTGTTCCCTTGGGTTCCTAGTGGAACATAGGGCTTCAACTGCACGTCTCCACTTGCTTCTGTCTTCTGCTGTTCTTTTCACTTGCGTCCATTTTATTCCATACTGTTTCATCTCCTCCTCACACGATCTCCTCCATGTCACCCTTGGACGTCCCACTCGCCGCTTCCCTTTCAGGTTCCAATCGAGCTATGGCCTGACGCGCGATGTCACCCAACGGCCTCCTCAGCGAGTGTCCAATCCATCTCCACTTCCTCCTGCATATTTGTTGGGCGATTGGATCTTGTTTTGTTTGTTCCCATAGTTTCTTGTTTGTGATTCTTTCTGGCCATCTAATCTTCAGTATGGAGCGAAGACAGTTGTTGATAAAGGTCTGCAACCTGTTGAAAATATTCTTGGTGACCCGCCAAGTTTCTGATCCGTAAAGCAGATAGTTCTAATTCCCAAAAAATACCTACTATATTGTTTCACTTCACATGGAGAGTGGAAAAATAAGATGCCTAAAATTAGAATACCTTCTTTTCTTTCTATCTTTCCTTTAAGTACCTATACCGCACAGTCACCAAGCAGAATTGAGTTGACAACTTCTCAATATACTCGTTTCCGTTGTAGTAATATTGTGGCGTGTGCTACTAACAAGATTTATCAGTAGTATGTGAAGAGAAATTCATCGGCATAAGAAACATCAAAAAGCAGTGGCATACTTGATGTCAAAGAGAAAAAATGAATAAGTGCTGCGGCAAGACATAGGAGACGTGAAAAGAAGACAAAGAAACACAAAAAGAAGGGCAGAAGCAGCACAACACGGAAGATCTGTGCAAACGACGATTTTCAGATAGTAGAGTGTACATAATCTCCCTATTTTAGAGATATTAAATTCCAAATAAACATTCCGTTTTCAAGTCGCTTGTCTTCTGTCGTTACAATATTGCATTCTATGTGCTGGTTAGTTTAATTATGAAGTTTTCTTTGCTTGATGCATGGATTAATATGTCTGCTTTCTGAATGACATTATTAGAGGCCTGGTACTCGAATATATCTGTAATTAACAGACATATTGATGCAATGAAGGAAAAGTTAAACGGTCATAAGGTTAAATATTAGGTCAACAAAATATCTCCGGAGGCAACCAACTGTATTTCGATTCACCACGAAAGACAGATATATTACATCACCACAGAATTCCATAAACTCATGGTCACAATGAAGTTAGCGCTGAAGATGTTGTCTAGACAGACAAAGGGGGCTGTATGCTCCCCTTTTTCATTTTAAAACACTCACTGACAATTGACCAGAATAAACAAAAGCGTTAGGCAAAATTATCATTGATAACGAAAATCTCCTCTATGACTGGAAAATATCTTAACACACTATAATCATTGAACCCTTGAATGCATGCGATAATATTGACTAGAGACAGTTATAGTTAAAAACGAGAATGCCTTAGCACTCATTTTCAAATCAGCAAATAGTTTACAGCATTTGTTGAAAGTATACAAATGACCCTGTCACTGCTCCATTGACTATGATAGCTAAAGATTAGCAGACAACAGAAAAACAACAACAACAACAACAATAGAAGACAGAGATAAATGGAAAAAAAGACAGCCAAAATACTTTGACCTAGTTCTCGAAAAACTCAAGAAATTGTTATTCAAAAAAAAGACAAAGAGAATGGTGAATAAATACCTAGTTAATCATTGTGTAGTGTGTGTACACAAAATGAAGTAAACTTGTATTTCACTTGTAAGCACTACCATAGATACGGGATGTATCGGTGTCAGTGTGAATATATTCTTCGTCTTTTATTATTAGCCAGTAAGACAAACGACCGCATAACTGTTGGTGTGCTAGGCAACCTATCAAAATTGATAGGTAGGCATGATTGTGTGGAACTGTCAGAGTGGAATATACGAATTATGAGAGTAGTATTGTAAAGGATTGAACACTGAGACATCAGTAAGACAAGTTCCATTTAAATTTTGTGAATGTTGGCATTTATTCCAAGGAATCGACTCGCTATTCAGTGGGAATCGTCTTCGTCTAATCGTCCTGACATATGCTTCTAGTCTGCCAATTGTGAGATAATGCTATGGAACTGGTCTGCACATGTTTGTGACTTAAGTAGTCAAATCTATTAACCAATGCGCTTATTCAGCAAGTTACACCAGCCCCAACAGACAGGTTGCAGCGGTGACCTCTACATGAATACAGCCACCATGTTTTGTTGTTTGTAAACCTACATCACATATGACACTAGGGAGATACCAGACTCTTCATGTATAAGAGTCTGTTCAGTTAGAACAAATGAGTGTACAGACTCTCTAACCAAAAAAGTCTATATTAAATAAAAGTAACATTCTGAAAGACTTGAAAGAAGGTCTGAAGATGACATTTTTAAACCAGCTAAAAGACACGTCTTTGATTTATAAGAGGCATAGCAACTGCAACCACAAAAGAACTATGAAAAAAAATTAATGCTAACCTTTTTAACAGGTAATGTTGCGCCCGGAGCGCTTGGTGGCTTCGATGCTATGCCTGATTCGAAACGATCCTTAACTGATAGAATCTTACCAGTTCTTTCACGTGGTGTTTGTGGCTTTGGCGGTTCTTCCACCTGAAGTAAGATAAGTTGAGAAAGTAATGGAAATATTTATTTCCCGATACGTATTTAAAAACAAGCAATTAGTGTTAATAAAGCAAGATTTGATGAATCTATCGAAGTTCGGTAGAAATCCTTAGCTGAATACTATGCATACAGCCTTATATGTACTATGACAGTTGCATAATAATAATTATTATTATAGCTTTATTCCAAACAGCATTTTCGGTACAAATATGGAATTTTCAGCATGTAATACAATATTGGATCTAATTTTCTCATTACAGGTTTAATGAGGATAGACAGGTGACTAATAAATAGACTACAGTGAACCAGTGACAGTAAGACAAGAGGTGAAAATGGTTTACAGATCAAGTTAAGATGAACAGAGTGGAGAAAGGCTATGAGATATTAAAAGTTAAGATTACAATGGATTACAATTCAGTTATGCCATTACGATAAACAATTAGCCATCAGAGGGAGAACTAAAAAAGTTTAGGAATTACAAAATGAACATTAATAAAAAAAACAATAATTGTGAAATTTATTACTGTAGTAATCTTCCCTTTGGTTACTAGTGGAACATAGGGCTTCAACAGCACGTCTCCGCCTTGTTTTATTTTCTGCTCTCCTCTTTAGCTGGCTTCATGGTTGCCCATAATCTCTCATTTCGTCTTTGCGCGACACCCCTCCATGTTAACCTCGTGCGCCCAACTAGTCGTGTCCCAATCACGTTCCACTCAACAGACTGGTGTGCGATGTCATTCGATGATCTCCTCAGCGTGTCCTCTATCCATCTACATTTTCTTCTGTGTATTTGTTGAACAATAACTTCTTGATTGGTCCGTTCCCAGAGTTTCTTGTTGCTAATTCTTCCTAGTCATAGGGTCTCCAATACAGAGCCAGCGACGCCAGCTGTTGATAAAAGTCTGCAATCCATTGGAAATGCTTTCCGTGACGCACTACGTTGCTGACTCATATAAAGAAGAACTGACTTAAGATTGTTCTTCATGCTGAGTTCGGAAGATTTCCAAACTGATTATTTCAGAGTGATTAAGGTTTGTCATGCTTTTCTGCTTCTGGTTCCCACATCCTGATCCGTTAGGCGTGCCTGTGATTAGAACGATCGTGCCTAGATAACTGAAGGAAGTGATCGATCTCTTTCAAAATTTCCTCGTTGATGGTGACTGGTATTTGTTGTTGTAGGATGGTTATCTTCATCACCTATGTCTCCAGTATGTTAACTTGAAGTCCTGTCTTCGATGCTTCTTCGAAAAACTTGTTGGTCTTCGATTTTGTGTGACGTCAAACATATATCGTCTTCGAATGCCAGATCTTCTAGAGTCTTCTTATCGGTCCATTGTATTTCTGTCTTCTCGCTTCCCATACACGGTGTGTCTCATAATCCAATCCACCACAATTAGCAAAATCATCTATGACAGTAGTCAGCATTGCATTACTCATGTCTTTAATTCAAAAGCCTTGCTGAGTTTTCCGTTGTCGACCTCTTGACTTGACACATTCCATTGCCATATAGCTGTTGAATGAGGTTTATAAAGATTTGGAGCACTCCATGGTGTTGAAGTAGCAATGAAATAAATAATGATAGTTATAGTGATAAAAGATAGTTTTAATTAAGACCAGAATAACAATAGATGGAATAAAATAAAAGCAGTGATACCAGTCGATAAGTAAAAGATACTACTACTACTAAGGTAGATTCTTATCAATCACCATATCCTGCTGTATACAGAGACCGGGTTTATAGACCATAATTGTACAAACCTCTACAACTGCAAAGATCTTTCGGTTTTCTTGTCAGATGAAGCAGTGAGTTACTTGTTCATAGTCAATAGGATACCTTGTCATCAGAATTTGTGGTACTTTTGACCGAGCTCTCTTCAAACACTTATGAAAATGTCTGATAATATGAGTAGACAGTTGCCTTACTGTATGACTCATGCATTTTCTCCCACGAATACACTGAAACTGGCACACGAAGTTAGAAATGTTGAAGAATGGCGACAACCTTTTTACCCTAATGTTGAAAAAAGTTAATTTAAGTGTTGGTTTGTAGGGATTTGATTGGTTGCAGGATTTCATAATGAGCTGACATTAGTTAGAGAACCATTGGAAAACCTGGGAGTACTGGACAGCTGTTTCGTCCTAGTTTGGGACTCTTCATCAGTACGCACCCACCGGGATTCGAACCCAGGACCTTCTAGTTACACGGCGAGCTCGTATACCATTAAGACACTGGGACCCAATCCAATGGCTCATGAATTCTAACTTCTGCCAATTCACGACATAGCGCGACCCCTAGCCAATGTCTTCGGCGAGTATTTGTCCTCACACCCAACCTGCTGCAACCAACTGGTCACAACTTGGATCGGGTCCCAGTGGCTTAATGGTATACGAGCTCGCCTTGTAACCAGAAGGTACTGGGTTCGAATCCCAGTGGGTGCGTACTGATGAAGAGTCCCAAACTAGGACGAAACAGCTGTCCAGTACTTCCAGGTTTTCCAATGGTTCTCTAACTAATGTCAGCTCATGATGAAAGTTAATTTAATTGAAAATTGAAGATATCGCGAGGGTTTGTGGTGAAACTGCAATTGCAATTGTGAATCTTCACAACTAACATGAATTCAGTTAAGAACACTAAGAGGACAGACAATGTGTCTTCTGAGATGACAAAATGAAGAGATAGTTTACTTGAACTAATGGTGATTACCATAACACAGATGACTCATTGAAAGCCAGCTTGGAACTGATTTTAGAGTACCAGATGTCACAGATAAGGCGATTATTGTATTATTATTCGTTCCCAAGGATCCGAGTGAAACATACGATTTTAGCAGGACATCTAAATTATGTTTTCTTTTCTGTCGTAATTTTTCTCTGGCTCCACGAATGATCTCAACATGAACTTCCCTATGTTATCCACGAACCTATGACTAACTCAGCACTTGAATAACTCCTCAGAGTGCGTACAGTTTATCTCCACACTTGTTGACCAAAAGGTTCTTGAGTGCTCTGCTGACTTCCAGAGTTTACTGTTGCTTGTGCTGAGTGCTGTGGATCTCTATGCTGATTTCGTAGTAATGAACACCTGTATTGCTTTCCCCATCCGATCATGACTGTCTTTAACAGGTTTGGAGTCTGTAGTAGGGATGATGCTATCGAAGTGTGTGAAAGAGATGACTTTCAAGTTTCCTTTCGTTGACGTTGATCGGTGCTTGCTTTTAGAGGTTGAATAAATTCATCGTCCCTATCTTTTCCATATTCACCTGAATTTCTGTCTTCTTTGAGTTTGTCAAACATAGGATAGAAAACATACATGAAATCCACATCCTCAAGTGTATTTTTGTTGCTTCAAGGTATCTCCATCTTCTCAGATGGTTATGTTACCAATAATATATAGAAGTCTGTATACATTGTGACTGAATTTTGAGGAATAAAAGACTTTGATCAACTAAAGATTGGTGGTATCCATTCTACTAAGAAGTGTAACAACAATGTAATTCAAAATCGTATAAATATGACACAATTTAAAAATGAGGGAAACCCACTTTTTCAAAGGATGAATGCTTCTCTTTTAGCGCTTGTATACTGCTGACTTTATTTGGTGATACGGCTGGTGTACTGTTTGTGACAGGAGGAGTACTAGGTTCCGATTGTTTTTGAGAGGCTCGAGTAAGTGCTTCAATTTTATTCTTCAATGATCCAGCGACTGGACCCTCGGGGACAATGATCACCTTTCCCTTGAGATCATCGACAGGTTCATCTTGAATGTGTAAAAGGCATACACAGAAACATACGTAAATCATATGCAACTTGGTGAATACTAGACAATAAGGTTTGTGACACCATAGCGAATTAATCTTTGCCTATAAATATGTCACTTTCATGAACCAGTGAACATAAAGTGCACCGCATAGTTACCTTTAAACAAGTAAAAATCCAATCATTACCAAAAATAAACCCAATCGGCATGCAGAAAACAAGTTCTTCAGGCACTGAGCAATGCATGCATGCATACGTGCTGTCATGGAAGTATGCAACGAGACCAGTAGATTAACAAAACACAAAAACACATCTTACACCGTCTTTTGCAGAACAATCGCAATTACATAACGTAATCTTGTCGTTATTGTTAACATCTGAGACGATTATCTCAACGAAGAATTGGATGAAAAGCTCTCCGGGAAAAACTGTTAAAAAATATTAGAACTGCCGAAGAGAAATTATCAAATTGAATGATGTTTTAAGATATATGCCATTATTAAATGACACGCGTCGTAGTTAACAAGCACTAATAGTGACTAATACTATTTGCTAGCCAATATATGAAGGTATTCCAAAAACCGAACACCAGCTTTCTATCGTTTGTATTGGTCTCCACTGTAAATCCAGGTGAAACTTCACCTCAATCTGTATATCCTATGTTCGCAATACCTGATCACAATTACCAGTATTTTGGTGTTAGTTAAACCACATATCGCCCAACCAATTTGTTAGGAACTTATAAGTCATTAGTTAAGCAGTTAGCAAAGCTATATTCACTGCATTAAACACTACAAATAATGCGGATTTTATCAGTGGTGAAATAGTATTTCTGGTTACCACGACAACAAAATACCAATAAGGGGTTTCATTTTGATTTTAGACCTTTTTTATTTCATACTGTTGAAAAAGTTCACAGGCAAATTTAAGATCTCTGCGTTTTTGGTAATAAACATTCTACTACAGTTCAACGTCTCTAGATTCGGTTTTAATAAGGATAAACATACATATGTCAGACACGAATAACGGAAACAAGACAGTATCAGGAAAATGTACATAAAATGGGAAATAAGCGAAGGTGAGATTGAAATTTTGACGCAGTGAGATTTGAACCAACAGCCACAGAACTAAAAGTCCGCTGCTATACCAGCTGAGCTAGAAGACCCAACTTCTGACCTGGTCATCATCCTTCATAGATTGAGATGGCTAGGTCACGTGCTGCGCATGCCTAACCATCGCCTCCCCCGACGGGCATTACTAGCTGATATAGGTGCAGGTTGGAAAAGAGTAAGTGGTGGCCAAACAAAAACATGGCATCAATCCATGAAATCCCTGACAGTTAAACTGAGTCAGGTAGGGAGATGTAGACTTCCGGGTTGGGGCCCTCGGGACTCTAAGAATCAATGGCTGGAGACAATAGGTGACATGGCTCAAAATCGTTGTCAATGGCGCAGATGTATTCAGTCTCTGTAATCTTTCATATTCCTTTCTACCATTATTCATTCTGTTTCACTCTTATACTTGTCAAAACTCTATTGATTCTCTTCACTCATCTTCTTGTCTACCTTTGTGTGCTATTTGGAACGTGGCAACTCGAACTGCTGCACTTCGGTACCAAGTTCTATGTTGAATCCAGCCAGCCAGTCATCATCCCATTAGTGTTCTCCTAATTCAGTAAGGTTAGAATTGACAGAGGACCTAGTTAGGTGGCTGTGACAGTGATAAAGCCACAATAACAAATCACTCATTCACATAGCATCTGACCATTTATCATGATCATGCTATAAGCTAGCAGTTAATACAGTACAAGCAAATGATTAATGAAACAAAGAAATGTAGATGGAATAACAAAGAGAGCACACAGTTTAACTTTTTCTGGAGGAGACGGACGCCTTTTGAACTATTGCTTCATATGCCCCTGAACTACACCGATACTGACGCAGACATTTTGTACGTGTGAGAGACGGGAAGATATTTCGCTACGTGATTTTGGTTGCACTACTAATTATCAAGGGACTCTAAGACTATATAATGTTAATTTGTATGAATTTAAATGATTTCAGGGTAAACTTCGTCAACAACTGGTATCAGTTAGAGAACAAATTGAGGACCAAGGAGCACTGGGAAACTGTTCCATCTTACTTTGGCACTGTGGTTACAGATGTGTCAAGAGCTACCTACTAACAGAAATTATAATTAAGTAGTGTTTGAAAACAGAAAAGCAAAAAAATTAGGAATAACTCAGCTTTCTCTCTGGATCACACTTATCACTGAATCTTCACTAAATGAGAAAAATGAATATTGTATGCAGATATACAATAATACCTAATGGTCTCACTTTTTTCAATACCAGACTCGTCGCCATTCTGTTCATCGACTTCCCCTGCGTTTTCTGTCTCCTTTCCACTTGCTTGTTTTCCTTTTTCTTCTTCTCCTTCTCCTTCAATACAATGACCATTTTGATTTGGGACTTCATCAAGTTCCTGTGATGCTGCATTAGTATCACCGCCTGATATTAATTCATTCTCTGGGAAAAACTTATTTTTTTCATCAGGTGTTATCGCGTGTTCTTCGTCAAAACAGTAGAATACTATGCCTTTATTTTCTGGCTGTACATGACTTGGCATCGGGTGTAATTCAATCGGTGCAGAGTCTTCCTCTGGTTCAACGATAACGAAGGTGGACAGAGCCTTTTCTTGTTCACAAGAATTTGTCAATTCTGTGTTTTGTGTATTACAGTGTTTTGTGTCATTCTCTAGCACTACATGTTCTTCGCAGGCATTCTCTAAATTAAACAGAATATGATGGTTGGTACATGAGGTGAAGTATAAAGCATTACTGGTATCAACCAGAAAGAAAGCTTTAAATGGGTACATATTTATGTATGTATGTATGTGGACATGGGGCTTGTCGAATTAAGCATTGGTCTTAAGACTAATAGAGTGCAGGTTCGAATCGCACTCCACCCAATTAAGCCTGGAAGACTAGGCAGTCTTAAGAGATAAGTTATAAGGAGGTGAGCACTTAAAACTTCAATGAGGAGTGTATATTAGTATCACTTAATGAGAGAGATTTAAAGTTCCTCTTTAAAAAGTGGCAAATACGATTTCATGTACTTCACCCTTGTAGGCATAAAATTAGATATATAATGAGGTTAGGAACTGATGTTAGTTAGAGAACAATTGAAAACAATGAAGCACTGAATAACAATTTACTCTTAGTTTGGGAGTTTTCAACACTACGTCCTCTACTTTCCCTCCCCCCCCCAACTTTCCCCACTAGGAGTCGGACCCAGGCATTTCAGTTTGTCAGGCAAGCCTGTTGATCATCCAGCCAGCAGGATGCAACCCCATAACGCACGGATTCTAGCTTCTCCCAATTCACAATATACGAAGCCACCGCCAAATCAGCTAAATCTTTGATAAGTAATGATTGAAAATAAGATATACTGGGGGAGATTTTTAAATCAGGTGAATGTTTCTGGTTTTTATTGTACTATCTTATCCACATCATTTCAATGACTTTTGAAAAACATCCCCAGTGAGCTTCCGTAATTCCCCCTGAACTCAATAACTGTCTGTCCTTATTAACTAGAATTTGATTGATTGTTACCAGAGGAGATTTTTTCATCGTCTTGCTAACTCACTAGTGACCCAATATTTAAACTTTTGTCAGTGTTACTTTTTTTGATCACTTGATGAATCTGATTTACGTTACTATTTCCGTTGATTGCAAATAGATCTGAGCACCAGGCGACAAGGATTTCCCCCAGAAAAAGTTAGACCCGAACGAGGAGGATGAGCACTTAGCCATGGAACCATCCAACTCAGATCAATCAATAATACAATTGCAGGTCATTCATAATGATCAAATATTCATACTAATAAATAGGCCAACTAGTCTTCTGAATGGCCTTTTATTTTCAGAAACTAAAAGTTTTATAGGCTGCTAGGTCAATGTGAAATGGAGGAGAGCACTAATTCATACAAAATATCTTAGTCTTTCCTATAATATCTGAAAAAAAAATACTTAAAAATCGAAATCTTATGTTACTAAAAACCAAAACACAGGCATACGAATTAACCTTAAAGAACGCCAACTCACCATGACTACTGGATGTTTCAGTCGTATCTTTCACATAATCATCATCAGTCACATCGATTTCATCAATAGTCAATTGTTCTTCATACAAAAGTGTAATACGCTTTGAAGGCTGACTAGAGCATGTCGTAGTAAGATCGCTGTTAGTAATAATAATAGTATTCGTTTTGTCTGCCTGACCATTATTAATTGAGGCTGCGTTGGTAGTGGTGTTCGGGGTGGTGATGGTGTTGTGATTAACTTGCTCTTGTTTATTATACTGTGAATGCGGTAAGTGAACAATAGTCGGGTGATGGATAATAAGTGATGGTGACGATAATTTTCGCTTGTAATTTTCACATTCATCACTGACATAACTGACATCTTGGAGTTTCCTAATGTTATCATGAGAATCATCAATATCTGAGAGTAGAAGTAGGCAATGATTGAAGTTGGTCAAGAGGGAGAGAGACACATTTCACAGTAAATATGTAGATAATCAGAGTAAAAATACGACTAATAACAAAAACTTTTGAAAAACATGCCACAACTGATAGTGAGACTATCTGATGTAGTCTTCAGTTGGCAGACTGTTATTGGTGTAATGGGTGGTGAGTGGAGGAAATGGAGTGTAAATCTACGCCGCAGCAGGGTTCGATCTAGCAGCCGCCGGAGCTACTGGTTCGACGCCTGACCAGGTGAGCTACAAGACCTAATTGCTAACCAGATCATGCCCAGTTAACCTGTAAATAAATGAAACACCACTATATAACACATTCATGATGGTATTAATAGCAGTGAGATAATAAAATGATCTGGTTAGCCGTTCGGTGTTGTAGCTCACCTGATTAAGCGTCGGACTAGGGTGATTCGGAGTCAGCTAATTCGAATCCTTCTGCCGCGACCTAGATTTTAATTCCACCTTCACACTCATCATACACTACATCAAAAAACAACAATAAACACCAAAAAGAAAAGCTCAACAACAACAGTGTTTGCCATTCCATTTGGCTGTTGTATTTTGCATTCCGTTAAACTGTCAAAATGCAAATTAACTAGCAAACCATAAATGAAAATATTACAACATTCCATAATGGTGTGATGATTATGTTCCATGCGATAATGTCAATAAAGAGTTGAGGGAGATACGTACACATAGGCATACAGATAGACAAACAGACTGGAACAGATTCGGTAATTATGCTCAAGACTAACTGATCATCTATCTGACAGGCTATTATTGCATGCACACTACTCGTGTTTGGCGTTATCAAGGCGACAAATCTCTACTTCTCTACCCCTACTTCTTTGTCGCAACACAAAAAATAACATGCACATGTATCAAAAATAATTTCAAGACATGCAAACAATTAGTAATAAGACGGTTGACATCAATTCAGTTCGTGTGAATGACGACTTTCTCTTTATGTTTTTGTAGACTCAAACATATTTACATGTGAAATTAATTGAAAAAGAACTAGAAAAAAAACTTAATTGATGAATTTGTTGGTCGTACTATTCAACTATAACAAAATAACATAGTTGAAAATTTTTTTTGATTATAGCTTGATTCCACACCACATTTTTTGGTACAGGTATGGAATTTTCGGTATGTGATATCAGTAGCCCAAATTTTGTAGGCCGACCAATGGACATCAGGTGTGCATGGTCGGCACACATGAAACAACCACTAGATTAATCTGTAACCTGTGAAGCATAATTTTATAATCCACGGAAAAGAAACAGGCTTGTTGAGTTCATCAGGAGAACTTTGTCTAATGGGAATATGGCGTGTCTTTCAAAATAGAAAGTAAACTCTTTTAGATGATTAGATTGCCTATATCTCCCGGGAGTCATGTTTACTCCTAGCTAGTCTATTTAGATTAGTGATTAGTGACTTGATTATGGGATTCACTTTTTCGAATTCTAGTCAGAAGTTGTGGCCAATGAGGTCCATTCAATCATAGATGAAAATGAACCACGAATTAACAGAAATTCCAATTTGTGGGTCACATTGTATTCCAATTCAGTAGCTGCATAGTAATGCAATCACTTCATGATTTGACAGCTGAAGGTCCAAACCCTGTTCGCTCATGGATGTATACTGGTCAGTAGGTCCCGTACTAGGACGAATCAGGCATGAAATGCTCACTGGTTCCCAATAGTTCGAAAAATGACGTCGATTCATAATGAAAGCAACAGTTAACATATTTTTATTCCACACCGCATTTTTTGGTACAGGTATGGAATTTTCACCATGTGATATCGGTAGCCCAAATGTTTCAGACCGACCATAGATATCAGGTGTGTGTCAGCAGGGGGTCGAACCCCGGACCATTTGCACGGTCGGCGAGAGTCCTAACCACTGTGCCACCGACGCACATTGACAATATGATACTTTAATCCATTTATATATCCATCGAAGACAAAGTGTAGTAATATAAAATTCTCCTTGATACTTACGACCATTCATTTCCGGCTTTCTTTTACTATCTTTACCCAAATTGTCATCATGTTTGCTCTCGCGTGATGATGAAAAGACATTTGATGACTTCGGTTCATTGTGTTTTGTCGAAGGATGAAAGCTGTAAAGAAGAGTTAAATAAATAAAACAGTTAAGAATTAAATCAAGGCACAGTGCACTAAAATTAAGGTCAATTAAAGAGATTTTAATGTACACAAGTCATCTATTAGATTAGATTAATTGATCAGAAGTCTTAAAGTTAAACAATCTACATACAGGTAATGATGGCAGAAATTAACACAGATAGATAGGCAGACACACACAGAGTAGATGGGTAGACCGATCGATCGATATTCAACTTTTGAAGACAAGAAAACCACAGTGGCGGGATACCAAATTCTCTAGATTCGCATAATGCATCAGATTTTCTCATGTGGCTTTCATAAGACAGTTTTCACAATACACATATATATTTGTCATTACTTTTTCTCCTTTGACAGCAGATAGACAATGTGACAACTAGCGAAAAGACAAAGCGTAATCGTTATTACACGTGAAATTCTACATAACGGCTAAATATGTGTTTCTTTACTAATCCTATTGTCAACAGCTTTACTACAATTCAGCATACAGCAGTACACTAAATGCGAATTTGAATACATGCGGAATGAAGATGAAAAGGAGAGGCTGTTGAACCTTCAAATTTCAGGATGGCATAGCATGCCAAATCGATATGGTGGGCGTGAATAATCGGTTGCTTAATGGAGGACGATTAACAGGTACAAATAAATTCTCTCACATCAGCTATAACCTAGTGATGCACTATTTTTTTATTCCTTCACGTTCCCAGTGGAACATAGGGCTTCAGGCTAGAGGCTTGAAGTTTCTGTAGCATTGGTGCTTATTTTTACAGGATGGGGTTGCTAGCCTTATGGCCAACCTTCTCTCTTTGGCAGTTCTATTACTGGCTTAGAGAGGTAAAGGAGTGCGTCGGCCGGAGATCGAACTCCGGACCATGTGCATGGTCGGAGAGCATCCTAACCGCTGTGCCACCGACGCAGTGATGCACTAGTTAACGTTAATTTCAGTCTTAAAAATTAATAATATACTATGGTGATGTGAAGCGCATAGAACAGGTGTGTGTGCGTGTATGTTAACTGTTCACTCGAAACGGAACAGTCTTTTTTCAAAATAATCGATCTTCTACCACTATGCCTACTACAAATGTCATCCCAGTGGCTAGCCCTAAGAATGGATGAATAAATTGGGAGGGGGGAGTGCAGTTAGATCATTATGTAGTCCTATGAGAGCTGAAGGACATTCCTGTTAGATTAGTATTTATTAGTGCATCACCACTCTAACCAGTTGCGACGAGACAGTATCAGATACATTCGAAAATCGTAATGAGTGTCGAACATGCTGAAACTGCCTTCTTCCTTCCTTCACTTTCTTAAAGTAGCACATGAAGTAACGAACCATCCTTTGAATGTTCTTGAAAATTATACCTATTTGCTTTCTGGATGATGATTGTGCATCTCATTTACTTTATTTCTACCTTACTTATATTGCTGTTTTATCAATTTTCTGTGACGCATCTCTCTTTCTCTCTGTGTCTCATCAATTTTTAATGATTATCTAACCTGTATTGATTTATGATAAAATCTATGCATTGATACTGATCACCACCACTAAACTGATAATTTGTTTTCATTTTCACGAAATTTTTTACAAAGCTGAATTGATTTATCAATTTAGCAATCGATAATGATAACAATAGTAATAAAAGTTGATTGCTCAATTGTCCTCACTCCACCTTTCACAGCATGAGAATTATGACAATTAATGAGGCTGAACTACACAGAGTGAAATTATATATATATATATATATATATACACATAATTAGTACACAAATAATAGTTTCGCCAATCCTCTGATAACATGATAAGATATTTGCAAGCTGAATTTATCACCTTTTGTATAAGACCTGTTGTTAGCTGAATGCTTGGTTTTCTCAAGCTCTCTGTTTTCCACACCAGTTTTATCCCATACAGAACCTATCACACTAAGGTACGTATGCGATCAACCAACTGCATTCGAGAACAGATTATTTTCAAGTATCAGTTCTCAGAGTTTTCACTGCTGATTTCAAGTTTAACCACCGACGAACACCACTACAAACTAACGTTCACCTCTCAACGTGAAATTCCTGGGTTCGACCCCTGGTGGAGTAGTCATGGCTGAGTACTGCTGAAGTTTCTCATATCCGGGCAAAACAACTGTCCGATACTCCCTGATTTTCAATGCTTCTCTAACTGATGTTAATCCGTCATAAAGCTTGAAATGATAGAGCATTTTTGGTTTCTTTAGAAATATACTTAAGATTGCACAGTTATTCGGCGGAGAGCGGATACCAAAGACAGACCACTTCTATGTGTATATACAAATTTACTTGCTCATGTGGAGCGAGATATATAGATCGTTAGATGCATGTTTTATCCAAAAGAGTCAAAGAATATTATCCCGCTTGGCTACGAAAAGGTAACAGTGTATCAATAAAGAGGGTTATAATAGACCATATAGTCAACACTGGTCACTGAATACCCACGGAGAATTCATTCAAAGTCATCTACAAAGTCAAAAGAAACCTCCCAAAAACGGTAAGCTTCTGTATACTTTGCATTACCGGGAAGGCCTTAGCGATCAGGATAAAAAACCCTGATTTGTGGAAACAGAAGAAACTTCTCCACCCCCCTCTTTCTACCTTGGGTATAATTACAAGTTCTACTGTGGTGAGAGCTAGCTGCTAGCCAAAGTTGGTAGACAGTAATTGACGTCAATGTTTATGTCCTCAATATTGGTGGTGAGAAAATGAGAACAAAGGCTTTGCGCAGGCGGATACAGTTAGCATATGGATGATCTGACACAGCCACAAAGAGATGCAAGGTTAAATTTCTGTGAGAAACAACCAATCAAAAGACTGTATTTTCTACTAACAATAATCTACAATAATGTACATTGAAATCTATAAATATGTGTTGATTTTCCTTAATAAATGATCTGTTGCCTGGCCCTTGTCTTCTGTTGTTACACTACGACTTCGTTAATTATGTTTTGTTTTCTTATTTTGTTTTTCTCAATTTTTGTATGGCATCTTAGTGACATCTTCTTAACCAACACTCTATTTACTCTTTCTACCTATTACGCAATTTATTTTTCGGACACGTGTCTCTATTAACATCCTATTCCATATTACACAACCCTTGTCAACACTTACCAATCTTTACACCCCCTAGGTATAATTTTCACTATTCATCACATTTTAGAAACATTTTGATGACGTAAGCAGCAACCCTAACTAATTTTTATTTTTGTTTGACAATTCTAATGTACACACACACACACACATAAAATACTCGTATATAAATGCGATTGTACGGCTAAGTGAATGAATTCGCTGAAAAGAGACTCTTCGCTGAACTTTGCTGTTCTTACAATAGTAATAATAATAATAATAAGAGTCGAATTCAACAATCGTGTTGTCATCAATAGAAGGACTAATAGTAGTCACGGCCATCTAAGATTTTTAAAAATCACTGTATATGAATATATGAAAAAAATCGACGGTGAAACGTTTCCTCCTTTAACAATTTTGTCCACAAACTACTACTAGCTGTCAAATGGATAATATTCATTCCAGAAAAAGTACACCAACGTTGATAGTTTGAACTGGGTCTTCAGTTTTCCATAAAAAGAGTTCCTTCTATTTTTTTCACAAACTGACTGGCTGACTTAACAGCATAGAACTTAGCATAAAACTGCAACGGTTTGAAATGCCTCACTGAGTCAAAGGAGTGAATAGATTTACACCCCAATATGAACGACTTCAACTGTGAGGGCAAACGTCTCCAGTCATCAATTTATAAGCAACCTTTTGAGTTTTTTTCCTAACAGTAGTAGGTAATTACATTGGTAGGATAGGTAAGAGTACAATAATAACATGATAAAGCAGGCTATTTCCGAGTAGCAAAAACACCAACTCATGCAATCATCCTTCCATACTTATAAGTACATTGACACGACACATGTTTGTGTATTATGGTAGAGCGTGTTGACCACTTCACTTATTTGGGAAGTTGCATCAGCCAACGCCAACGGGCTGATCGCTGACGAAATCTCAGCACGGATACAGAAGGCTAGTTTAGCATATGCCACTTTACGCCGTCTCTGGCGTAGACGTGATATCCGGCTATCGACTAAAGGGCGTATGTACTGCTCATCAGTCCGCTCCGTCCTCCTTTATGGCTGTGAGACATGGCCATTGAGAGTAGAAGACATGAAAAGATTAGCTGTGTTCGGTCATAGGTGTCTGCTTTCTATCTCCCGTGTGAAGTGGTATAATAGAGTGAGCAATATTGAGGTTAGGCGTCAAGTGCTAGGTAAGGAGGAGAAATTAATCGCCGAGGCTATAAAGTTACATCGACTGAGATGGTTAGGACATGTGTTACGCATGCCCAGCCATCGCCTTCCTCGACGGGAAATGTTAGCCACTGAAATAGGATGGATCACTTCCTGGTTGAACTCCTCGGGATAGTAAGAACTAAAGACTAGAGACAACTGGTGATATGGCTTAAAATCGTTCTCATTGATGGCGCAGATGCACTCACTATTTGTGATTTATCATATCCAATAAAATTCTGTTGTGCTTCTATATTACTATTCTTTTAGCTTCATATTTCTGTTTAGTATCTCTGCTTTGAATCTCTCTTTAACCTCTCCTCTTGCTTTGTGTGCTACATGGAGTGTGGCACATCTGTGTGAAGTTCCACTTTGTAAGCAGTCGGTCAGTCAGTTTGTCTATTGCTTAGTATCATGCTATGTAATCAAGAGCTGTCAGTTATTAGACAAAATGTCGAATTGAAAACACAACTCACCTTGCATGAGAAACTTTTTTAGGCATTCCAGCGTGCTGAAGATTTTCTACAGACTGATAACGTTTTGATTTACGTGACAGTGCTCGATCCATTTCACATGCCATTGACTGACTTATGGGTAGCGCATGCATAGAGGATAATAGTGCTTCGCCTTCAGGTGTTTTCAGATATTGATCACGACTCATTCGTCTCACTTGACGTAGACTTTCACGACCACTTGCTGGCAATGGTAATTCATCAACATCTTCCCCGTCTTCATAGCGTAAACTTGCCTAAAACAGAGAAGTAGAGAATTAAAAATTAAATCAATTATCTCACACACAGTATTAAGCATATAAACATATACGTAGACTGACATGTATAACTGTTCAATATCCTATGAAAATTTATAATAAATAAAAATTATGCGGAGGGGATGATAATATGAAACCGACTTTTAGGATAAGCCGAAACAAGGCATCTCTTAGGTGAGCATCTTGTGCGTTATTTTCAACCTTAGGATTTGGGAAAAATCAAGGCGGTAACATTTGACAGAGTACAGATTAAGCCGACATAGGAGTGATTTCTTCAAAAACAACAAGAAAGAAACATCGGGGAATCGATTTAATCATTTGTCGATAACAATCAGAGAAACGTTAAGTAGATGGCGAAGTTATACATAATACGAAAGTTTTGAGGGTGTAAATAAAAACAAAATTCAAATTGAGCACAAAGCTGAACTCAATCATTCAGAAGCTGACAGACATATTTCTAAGCAGAAAACATAATGTTAATTCAAAGGTGGATTCGAAAAGGAATCGTTGAAAATTAGGCAGCACTGAAGAGCTGTTTGTTGGTCGAGCTTGTTGACAATTGTTTAACCGCCATGTTGGAATCCCATGACCCGTGGATTCTTACTGCTGTCAGCTCAAGATATACAGTCCCAATACCAGCCAATATTGTCAGAGAGTATCTGTCCTTGCATACAGCTTGGTGAATTTCATCGATCACTTCCACTCATGGCATCTCCAGGAGGTAAACCCCCGATAGTTAGTCACTAGTTAGAAAAACGGATCTATTCGCAAGTGTTTTGATTTGATTGATTTTAAGATCCATTTCTCAAACTGACTCCAGTTTGCTATGAAGACTACCTTCAAATCAGCCAAATCTCTTCGATCAAAAACTTCAAAATCAACGGTGATTTATTTGTCTTACTTTTGCAAATGTTAGATATGTACACTAGGCGAAAGATGCAAATTACTCCAGCGGTGTGTATTTTATCCTCTTAACGACTACTGTTATTCAAGTATTTGTTTGTAGGGATTTGATTGATTGGTTACAGGATTTCATCATGAGCTGACATCGGTTAGAGAATCACTAGAAAACCTCGGAGTACTGAAAAGCTGTTTTGTCCTAGTTTGGGACTCTTTATCGGTACGCACCCACTGGGTGCAGCAGGTCGCGTGTGAGGACAAATACTCGCCGAAGACATTGGCTAGCGGTCGCGCCATGTCGTGAATTGGCAGAAGTTGGAATTCATAAGCTGGCCCTTGGATCGGGTCCCAGTGTCTAAATTGTCTACAAGCTCGCCTTGTAACCAGAAGGCCCTGTGCTCGAACCCCATGGGTGCGTACTGTTGAAGGGTCCCAAGCTAGGACGAAACAACTGTTCAGTATACTCCCACGTTTTCCAATGGTTCTCTAACCGACTACTGTTAATTGGATGATATCTAGTTCCATACCTTTTCATATAGAAAGGTGGATACTGAATATTGTATTTGATAGATTATTTTTTGGAGTAATAGCTAACTTTACTTCGTGAAGAGGAGGTAAACGGTACTCCAAAATTTGAGTGATTCGAAAAAATGCTGGTATGAGTTCTTTTTTTAACGGTTGAAGGCAAACAACAAAAGTTGTAAAACCATGCTTTAGGTTCACGATTAGGACGGAGTTGACGGCTTCAGAAACTGATGTTACTCCTGAGATGCAAGACAATTAGGGACACCAATGCAACAAACACACAAACATCTCCTCCTTCATATATCCAACAGGTCACGTTTTATATCGAACTTCAAATGAGAATATACTATTATTATTATTATTATTATTATTAATAATTTAAAACATGGGAACCTTAAAATGGCACTTACTTCATACAGATTTAATTGTTCAGCTAATTCAGGATCACAGTTCTTTTTGCTAAGATGACACTGGACAATTTTCTGCATACCCATCTCTTCTAAACAATCTGTAACATCATAGAATGTATCCTGATCTGGAATGGAATTCAATGTCTTATTCAATAAGGTCATTGCATAGACCAACAATTCAGAATCACTTGCTTCATTGTTCAATATATTAATTATGTACGACCATGGTCGACCAGATAAAGCTGAAATTTTCAAATGAGAAGTAGGTAAGGCAAAAGAATTACTTTTGTAGATAAGTTCAACAACAACCTGAATAGAAAGTAACAATTGGATAAACTGGTTAGAAAATATTCATTATTATGATTATTATTATTGTTTTATTTTTTTAATTAAAAATAAAATATCAAGTGCATTTTTAACAGTTATTAAAATCGGATAGAAAATTGAAACGGCGGTCTGCTTAAATCATCGGGATACTGAATTATCTATTCAGTATGGAGCGTCAAATTCACTTCATCTCTACGTTGTTTTAACCATCCAGGTACACTGTCGAATCCGAGTCTCAACTCCACCGCATTCCTGAATAGCTTTCAGCTTAACACTACGCATTTTAGTTTGTAAGAACAATAGTGTGGGGGTGGTTAAAGTATGCTTCAGGTCAGACAATACAGTGTCGATTATAATTTCACTTATAGATTCTGTACTGTATATAAACGCATAGTTTAGAATAAAGTCATTATTACTACTACTATTATTATTATTGATTTACAAGGTATAAAATACAGGAAACATATGAGAATTATTAATAGTAATAATAATGATGATTTTCTAAGCTGCTGACCAGTGAGAACCAAGGTGTTGTGGATATTTGTCACGTCTTTGCCTGACACTCATCAGCAATCCATGCTCATTGCTCACTGATAAATCCAACGCATCAAGGAGAACATGTCTTCTATTGTCTGTCAGTGTGTGTGTGTTCCAAACTCATGTATAGCAGATATTCTGTGGTAATCATGTTTTGAATGGTTTCCAAATTGAAGGCAGCTAAGGGCAGAATTTTTACCGATAAACTGAAACTCGTATCGCACAGCACAGAAGTCAGAGATATTACAACTAGGGTATTCGGCTTGATAATTGATCCTCTGAAGAAATTTAATGGGTTAGCCATCGAGAAGTAAATGATATCATGTATACATGTACTTAGCTTAGTGTTGACCGAATTGCATCAGTCAGCTGTACAATGCAGTCGACAGGCCAGGTGACTTGCAGTGGTGTCCTACTTTAATTTTCTATTGAATATTTCCAGGTAATCAGTGGGAAGCTTTGAACCTCCGTCAGTTGCTCGTCAACAACCTCGAGGAAACTGATCTCATTCCAGAGATTCAAACCCCCATCAACCAGTGACGCTTTCACTGTGCAGTTAGAGAAAAGGTATTTATTATCATTATTATTGTTCCCTTGGGTTCCTAGTGGAACATAGGGTTTCAACTGCACGTCTCCACTTGCTTCTGTCTTATGCTATACTTTTCACATGCATCCATGTTACCACATACTGTTTCAACTCCTCTTCACACGATCTCCTCCACGTCACCCTTGGACGTCCCACCCGCCGCTTCTCTTTCCCGTTCCACTCGAGCGATGGCCTGACGCGCGATTTCACCCAGCGGCCTCCTCAGCGAGTGTCTAATCCATCTCCACTTCCTCCTGCATATTTGTTGAGCGATTGGTTCTTGTTTTGTTCGCTCCTATAGTCTCTTGTTGATGACTCTTTCCGGCCATCTGATCTTCAGTATAGAGCCAGCGAAGACAGTTGTTGATAAAGGTCTGCAACAGGCTGTTGGAAATGCTCATTCTTTGTGACCCACTGCCAAGTTTCTGATTCATCCGTATAGAAGAACTGACTGACTTGACGTTTGTATTGAAAATTCGAATTTTGTTGTTGATGCAGGCTGAGTGACGAAGATTTCCAGATTGGTTTCAGGTTGATGAATGTGTTTCTCGCCTTTCCGATTCTCGATTTGACATCCTCGTCCGTTCCTCCTGTAGTTGATTGAGACAATGCTCCCTAGATAAGTGAAAGAAGTAACCTCTTTCAAATCCCTCCCGTTGATGGTGATTGGCGCTGGATGTTGCTGTTGTTGTTGTTGGTTGGTTGGTTATTTTCATAACCTCTGTCTTGTCTATGTTCACCTGGAGTTCTGTCTTTGGTGCTTCTTCGACGAGTTTATCGGTTTTCGCTTGTAAGTCTTCGATTTTGTGTGACATCAAACACAAATCATCCGCGAAATCCAGGTCTTCTAGGTTCTTCACGTCGGTTCAGGATATCCCTGTCTTCTCGTTTCCCACTGTCTGACGCATAATCCAGTCCACCACAATTAGGAATATCATTGGTGATAATAAGCACCCTTGTCTGACTCTTGTGTTTACTCCAAACGCCTCGCTGGATAAGGTATTTAATTTCATATAACCACGCTGCATAACTAAAACTTTTTATTTGAATATTCTTATTTTTCTCACTTGACAACAGACCTACTTTGTTTAATCCTAAGGAGGACAATGTTCGCAGAGAGCTGGTGGTTCAATTTGCGACCGACACACACCTGTATATTTCCTATCCGATAACAAACCTTGTGAAGTGGATAGTTTGCGCGTAAGGCTAGCGACATACTTACTCACACTTGAAAGATGAAGCCTAAAACCCTGTGTTCTACTTGGAGTGCAAAAGAGTGAGAGACAAAAAGACAATGCTGAAAAATCAAAATCTATGTCCAGTGTACTGAAACACTGTGAACTGTTGAATTTTTTCCCCTCAAAAAAATTAATGAACCTATTTATAGATTTAAACAATGTGTATCTGTTTTACAGGTAATTGAGAATGTGAACACTGTATCGTATGTAGTCGCCACACACACATACACACACGGCCACACATATGTACATAAACACAAACATACGACTGGACAGAATACAATTTTTCTCTTTGTTTTTTAGTCTATACTCATTTATAGAGAGAGAGGTAATGAATGACTATGATTTAGTCTATGATTTCTATTTTTCTGATAGACAGCAAAAGTACAGATTGTAGTAGTGTTAGTAGAGAAACATTGCTGTATTTATGAATAACTTTGGTCACAAACACGATTATATGCATTCCACCTTTGATTGATGTTGGTTTTCAAAAACACTTATAAAAAAGGAATTAGAAGCTATTGTTGAATAATCATCTAAGGTATTCAATGATTGTACAGGAAAAATACTGAAACTTCTAGGTTCTCCGTTGTTCTTGTTGTTCTCCTCGTTTATTTTTATTTAACTGTACTGAAATACTTGGTGTATATTGGAATATTGGCTTCTAGTTGTTGCAATTGAAACACTATCACTCACTGAGATGCAGCGACACATTCGGTTGACGAGCCCGGCAAAGATAGGACGAAGCGCGTGTCCTACTTTTCACTGCGAGGCAATGATGGTTCCAATGATACCAGCTTCAGTGGCAGTTTACAAAAGAAAACGCCGCCGAAAAAAAACTTCAAAAAGCACAGTTCTTCGATATGTTTAATCAGAATTCATAGCCTGGGGAATCAATGGAGCTTAAAAATGAAAGGATATCATCAGCATGCATGAATTGAAACTTAATATCAACCCGATAAGGTTAGTGTTTGAAAAACAGGCAATAGATGCTTCCTTTGTATGATTAATTTTCTATTTTTAGTATTGTACGTTAATAGGCTTGAAAGAAGGTGATCGTTAAAAAAGGATGAAATTAATTTTTTTAAATGAACGTCTTTTTTCATGTCACATACACACAATCTACATCGGTGCACAACCCCCTATCTAAACTGTGGATGAGTTCCGAAAGGAGTCGTTGAAAATACGCTTTCTCATATTTTCTTTGGAACTATACACAGACCTTGAAATATACTCCAGCTAGCTAATAACGACGTAATATTTTTTGGCGTGTGCTACTGATAAGACACATCATTAGTGTATAAAGAGACGCTCATCGGCATAAAAATATCAAATAGCAGGAAAATAGATATGATGTCAGCGAAAGCGAATGATACAGCGTTGTGGAGATCCATGGGAGAAGTGAAAGGAACACAAAGAATCACAATATGAAGACCAGAAGTAGTACAACACGGAAGATCTGTGCAAATAGTGCGTTGAAGATAAGATGTACATAATTTCGCTATATAATAGAGATACCAAATTCCAAATAAACATTCTTTTACCAAGTCTCTCGTCTTCTACAGTTACAATATGACTGCTGTGTAAAATATGGGGCAGGCATTCTTTCACCTGACAACCGTATATATTTTTAAAAATGACAAACTTTCAATAAGGGGAACAGTTCAACCATTCACAGCTGAACGGTTCATATGTTTCAGTCCAAATGGAATGGATACAGAACACCAAGGCGACCTCTTCCATTCGTTTACGTTTCAGGAGGGACATACAGCTTCAAGCTTGAGATTGAAGTCTTAGTAGTGATGTTTTTTCTTTTTACGGGATGCTAGCCACATATTCAATCTTCCCTCTTCATCGGGCTCACAACCGGCTAAACGATGTTCAGGAATGTCTTGACCGGGTCTGAAGTGATTACCTGCTGAGCATTCTACAAGTGCCCCTTCAACGCATTAGTCTGTTATTCGGACTACTTTAATTCAGTAGTGGTGATGGTGGTGGTAGTGGTAATGGACAGACAGTTACACATAGTTCACCCGGATGCCAATCGATCAGAATCCTTATTCAAGTGAATGGAAACCGAAGCCTAATCAACAGCGACGTTTCAAGGTCGGGTATACAATGCTTCGGTGCGGGCTGTCTTGCTCTACGCCTGTGAAACCTGGCCTCTCCAAGCTGAGGATGTGCGGCGACTCTGCGTGTTCGATCATCGCTGTCTCCGCAGGATTGCTTGCGTTCAATGGCATCATCACGTGAGTAATTCTGAGGTTCGGCGGCGTGTGTTTGAACACAGTGGAGACCACCATTCATTGAGTGTCGTCATCTGGAAACACCAGCTCCGGTGGCTTGGACATGTGCTGCGAATGGCATCCCAGAGGCTTCCGTACAGGTCTCTGTTCGCTAGCCCTGGGACGGGATGGAAAAGGCGGAGGGGTGGTCAGTCCATGACGTGGCGTCGTGGGATGAAGGATATTTGTGCTAGATTAGCATCGTTCGGTGTGTCACGACTCCCTGGTTGGGTTCCACGAGATAGCTCGAATCGATGGCTCGAAACGTT